CAGCACCCTCACCATCCCCCGTGGGCACTGGCACTGCTGGAGCTGGATGGCAACACGCTCCACGGAGGAGGGCTCATTCAGAGAGCTGCCATGTCCCACAGCATATGAACAGGAGACAACCCAGATGTCTCCAGCCCACCTGGCCCTGCCAGCACGCTGCAGGAGCCCTGGTGCAGGCAGGCAACAAGGGAATTGGTGCAGGCACCCAAAGGCAGCCTCAGTGCCACCCACCTGGGACACCCACCCTGGGGCTCCTTGGGGACCTTGCTCAGCCCCCGACACCTCACAAATTCCACTGCACGACGGAACAGCTGAACTGAGCCCACTGCTCACTCTGCTGCCGGAATAGCGGGGGCTCAGGCTGGAGGATAGGTGCCAGGACACCTCGGCTAGAGAACACCTGGATAACTGGAGTTTCTTAGAGAGCAGCTGGATAACTGGAATTTTCATGAGAACTGGAGGGTCCCCAGCGTTGTGCTGAGGGAAGGGTTGGGGGAGAGCGGGGCAGAGGCTGGAGGAGCCTGCGGGGCTGAGGCAGGAAAAATTCGCTAGAGCAGCCACTTCCAGAGCGGGCCGAACCCCGGCTGAAGACACCGAGGAAGGGGCAGGAGGGCAGCGCGAGGCCGCGGGGCCCGGCGGCAGCCCGAGCTCGCGCTGTCCCCGGCGGCGGGGCCGCAGCGCCACCCAGCGGCCGAGAGGCGCCGCCGCCTCGGCCCCTCCGCGCTGCCCCGCCGCCGTCACGGGACCGGGAAGGCCTCAGGGCCCTTCTCCTCTCCAGGTGAGCTCCCCCAGCTCTCCCAGCCTGGCTCCAGAGCAGAGGGGCTCCGGCCCTTGCAGCATTTCCGTGGTCTCCTCTGGGCTCTCTCCAGCAGCTCCACCAGCACACCCTACCCAGAGCCAGCCCCAGCTCACCCTCCCAGCTGTCCCCTCAGCATAGAACAGCCAGGAACCGCTGCCACCACCACGGGCTCCACCCAAAATCATGTCCAAGCTGTGCTGCTGTCTTGGGTGGCTGATGTGACCCAAGGCGGGGCAGGATCCTACTGAGGATCACTTCTGCATCGTGGTGCTTTAAGCATCTCTGCCCTGGGACAAAAGCACATCCACCTCCCTAGGGACGAGCAGCTCCTTCCTGACCATGCACATGATGAGGTTTCTGGCCTCTCGTCATCCTCTTGAGGAAGGAACACAGTCAGAAAAGCAGGGAACAAGAGAGCTGCACAGGAAGGTTGTTGGAGCTGTATTTCTGTTTCTGGGTAAGAAACACCAATCCATTCTCTCTAGAATGGGGAAAATCCAGGGGAAAGGGGATGCCACAGTGCTCCCTGGAGGGAAGGAGAGGACAGCAACCCCACATCAAATTTGGTGATGACTTCTCCAAATTTATGGCAAAGCACATTCATCTCTCATCTTCAAATTGCTTTTTTTTACCTTGAATTTGCTGTCTTTCTCTTTTTTTGAAAAAAAATACCTAGAGCATAAAGGCAAGTTTTTAGTAACACAAAAATGGTTTAAACCCTTGGAATGAGTCAGATCTAATCTTCTTGTTTCTCCACAGGTGAATTTTGAGGCCTTTGGCCTCAGCACCTGGGAACTTTCTCAGTGCCTCACGGCATCCCCAAGGAGCGCTGTGGGGTCCTTCCTGGTGCAGAGGAGCCCAGGACTCAGCACAGCCCATGAAGGTCCTCCTGCAGAGCTCCTCCAACCTTGCAGGGATGGGTTGGCACACTCTGGCAAGACCTGAGTGGAAGAACTCACAGGAGGGAGAAGGAGTCAGAGCAGTCTCCAGCATGTCCCTTGTTCAAAGCACCCTCATGTGTATCCCAGAGCCAGCACAGATACAGTCACTCTTTGCTTTTGGTTTCCAGTAACCAGAGCTTCAACAAGATCCCAGCTCCTCATTTCCATCAGATGATTTAGTGGGCTGTGTCAGGATGTTCTGGTGCTACCACAGATGTGCAGTGCCTGCTGTGGACAGGCAGCCAGAGGATCAAAGCCTCTGGGCCACCTCTGGGAGCGGGGTGGGCCGACGGGACAGCCATCCCCACAGGATGTAAGACCACTGCAGTGTCTGCTTCTGAAATATTCACAGCTCCAGAGACAATAAATAAATAAATAAATAAATAAATAAATAAATAAGTAGATAGGGAAAACCCAGAGAAAGTCACATGTGGTGGTGTTAACATCACCTCTTACACGAGCAGAGCCTGACCTGGCTGGAGCAGAGCTGCAGGGAGGCTCTCCAAAGCACAGAGCAAAAATGTCAGCACAAGGAACAACCTTTGCTGGGTCTCTCTGCCAAGTCTCACCTGAATTTTGTCCAACTTTACCCTTTAGGCTTGAAATTTTCCATCCCAGAATATTTTTCTTTCCAAGTTCCAGTGCAAAGAGCCACAGCCAGAGGGACGAGAAGCTGGGACAGCCAAACACCCCAAGATTTTCTGGGGGGATGCTGCCCCTCACTGGCAGATGAAGCTTTGGAGAAAGAACTCACTTCTTCCAGCTGTATCAGCAGCACTAATGAGAGAAAATTACTTTGGCCTGCATTAAGAAAAAAAAAATCTGTCATTCCAGTGGAAAGCTGTCATGTTGCCAGCTTGAGGAACAGGGACGTGGGAATGTTGCCTTCTCCTGTCCCCAGAAAATCTGAGGAAATTTGGCTGGTGATGTTGAAAAATTATTGGAGTTCTCACAGAGTTGAGGTGTGAGTTCTGGTGACAGCTGCCAGCACTGCTGTCCCAGGCCCAGTGTCCCCTGATTGTCCCTGGTGGAACATCCTTCAGAGCTCTGGAGGAGCTCTGTCCTGTGTTCTCCCCTGCTCTGGGGTGGCTGTTACAGCTGTGGGACAGCAGGAATGGGGCTCAGCAGGGTGAGCCTTTCCTGTGGATGCCATGGCTTGAATCCCTCTGAGGAGGGATGCACCCTGTGATATATCCTTGGGCAAAGAATTAAAAAATTACCCATAAAACTTGTACTGGAAGAAACTTTGAATGAGCAAAATGAAGCCACACAACCACCAGAGTGAAAGATTTGGCCTTGAAAAAAAAAAAAAAAAAAGGGTGAAAAAAACTTATGAGTAGGTCAGCAAGGATCTGCAGCCCATGCAGCGAGCGAGGACCCATGGGTTTGGATGTTCAGGGCTCTCTGAGCATCCCCTGGTGCCCATCCCAGCCGGGGGCAGGGACTGGGTGGGATCACAGGACAGAGCCCACAGGGGACATGGAGCAGGAGGGAGACCCAGCAGACATGGAGCCTGGATGGGAGCAGATGGAGATGGAGAGCGGAGTCCATCTGATCTGTCAAGTGACAGATGGCCTTCACGCTGGCCAGGGAGGGAGGCAGGGCCAGTGCTGGCAGCCAGCAACTGCAGCCACTCTTCCCTTTTTCTCCTTAATTTGTCTCAGAGGGCCCCTGTATTCCCCTTGCCTCAGCTGCACAGAGGTTGTGGTGCTTGTGGAGGGTGGGGGACCACAGGGCTCTCAAATACCCCCCTCCATCTCCAGGGCATGGCAAGACACTCCTGACACAAGAACCCAAACTCAGAGAGATGAAACAACCCCAGAAAATAAATCTATTTTCAACTCTATTTTCTATTTTTTCTCTCTTTTCAGACTTTTTGGGATCTTGCTCACCTTCTCTGGGACAGGAGAAAAAGGGAAAAGCATGAAAGTTCCCACAAAGTATTTCTCCATGTAAAGGAAGAAGGTGGGAAGGGAAACAAAACAAAACCAAACCAAACCAAAAAAAAAAAAAAAAAAAAAAAAAAAAAAAAAAAAAGTAATTAAGAAATAAAGAAATAAAGAAAGCAGAAAAGTTTTTTCCCTTCTCTACACACAGCTCAGGAGCACTAGGGAAAAATGAACATTTTTCCTCCCATTCTGTTCCACTGGAAGAGAAGTCCAAGTGCCTCTCAGTGCCACATGCTTGCAGTTACATACACAGAAAGTTAAGAAGCAAAACCAAGTGACACTTGGAAAAAACAAATATCCATCAGCTGTGAGCTGGGAACCTGAACCAGCCTGAAACCTCCTCTGGCCAGGAGCTGTCTCTGGCAGGAGCCATCCAGGCTCTGTGGCCACCAGGCCCTCACCAGAGCCACAGCTGCCCTCGAATCAATCAAGTTTTGCTGTGAGACAGCTCTGTTTCCAGAGGCTCAGTAATTAAGAGCCTATTTTTAGAGAAATGAGCCACCACATTAATCAATAAGGAGCAGCCAGCTCCTCAAGGGTAAGGGGGTTGGAGTTGTCCTGCTCCAGCCTCAGGAGCTTGTCCCCCGTCCCATGATGTGTGGTTGCCCCCAGGTGCTGCAGGGAGCTCTGTGCCTTGTCCCCACCTGGCTGGGATCCCACAGGGCACCTGGGACCTTTGGCTCCATTGGCCTTCCCAGGGGATGCTCCTGGCAGGAAAAGGCTGCAAAAAATAAGAGGGGCTCCTTAGGAACATCACCTGGGAGGGGTCTGGTAGGATGCCTCTGGCCAGCTGGACTAGGAGCAGCTGGTTCAGGTCTCAGCAGCAGCTCTTGGGGGACAGGAGAGGCACAGCCATCCTCACCTCACACTCCTGCTGTCCCTGCCAGGGCTGGCTCCTTCTGCCTCCCACCACCTCCTGCGCATCCCTGGTCTGCCCAGGAAGAAGAGCCAAACATCCCCTTTCCTGGGAATGTTTCCCCAGCATGAGGTGTTTAAATCATTTACAAAGGGCTAAAATAGAGCTGGCTCCCTTCCAGGCACTCTGGCATCCAGGCTCTGTAAACGACTCACCCGCCAAGGGAGTCAGCCGGAAAAAAAGGCTTTTCCTGTCCATTTCCCAAGACCCCCTTCCACAGAAACCTTCCAGCATGATCCTTTCTCAGCTGTAAGAGCAGCAAAATTGTTTCAGGTCTTCACTGGCATTCCTTTTCCCCCAGGCACACTTGTGGACATCTCATATGACTCCCTTCTGCCAGTGGATGGAAAAAGAGAAGGACTCTCTGCAAAGAAACAGTTAACTGATGTGGTAAGTCTGATGTGTCTTTCCTTGCCTTGGATATTTCCTAGGGTCCCTTTCAGAGGCAATTTTTTTTTTTTTTAAATAGCATTGACCTTTATGGAGACTTCACCTGGTATTCACCAGGAATTCACCTGGGTATTTTCTCATGGCTGCTGAGCTGCACCCAGGAGCTCACAGGAAGAACCAAGAAGACATTTCTTAGGCTGCAAGTGATTCACCAAAAATCATTGGGATGCAGGTGGAAAATGCCAGGGATCAGAACACAGCCTAGCTTTCAAATCCAACCATGCTGGGAGAGCAAGGTCTGGGTTGACCAGGAGATCACCTGCAAGAGGAGCTACCCAGCATCTCTTTCCTCTGCAGGGTCTGTGGCAGCTCTCAGCTGCTCTCTCCAGGGCCCCCCACCCAAATGAATGCCCCAGGAACTGGAGCTCCCACCCTGTGACTCCCCAGGTGACCAGCAAGTTCCCAAACTCTTACTCTGCTCTCATGGAGGCAGGACACCAAGTGCCGCAGCCTCACCTGCCTGTGCCACACCTGGATAAGGATCACCCCTAATCCTGCTGGAGCAGCTGAACCTCCTGCAGCCTCTGCAGCACCAAGTGCAAGGGGAAGGATGCAGTTCCCTGGTTCCCCAGCTGTGAGAAGGAAGGCTGGTTCCTCCATCGTGATGCCAGAGTGTGGTCCATACTGTGGCACAAGTCAGATTCACCCCCAGGAGGGTGACACTGAGGCTGACAGGGTGCTTGGGCAGAGTCAGAGAGCACTAACTCATTATCCAAACAGACCCACAGGAGCTGGGAGCTCCTGTGCACCCCACAGGGGTTTATCCCCTCAGAGTGGGCAGCACTAGATCTGGAGTTCTCCCTGAAGAGTTGCACAGAGGGAGATGAAGCCTCTCGTGAAGAAAAATAACCCCATGCAAGATGAGAACCCACAAGTGGCTGCAATTTGAGAAGCACTGTTCTGAAGTCCACCTTCTCCTGAGTTTTGCCAGTGGATCCACGTCAGACTCTGACACACCCAGCTCCTGCCACCGCAGCACCTGCTGTTCCAAGGGGCACCTGTGGCAGAGCCAGATGCCAGCTGAGGATCCACCCTGCTCCCACAGGCTGCAGGTGTCCCTCCTGCATGCTGGCCTGCGCTGGGAGTGATTTGGTAGCGCAGGTAAGTCAGGCATATGGTCAGTGAGAAACACCCAACAGAGGAGGACCTGAGTCAGCACTCTCCAAGGAAACCTCAGAGGAGCAATGCTGGAAGAACAGAGTGCTGGGGCAGCAGAGCTGTGGGACAGTGAGGACAGAGCCCCAGCCCCAAGGATGGAGCAGGCTTGCCCCTAGCCTGGCACTGGGCTGGAGGAAGAGGAGGGTGAGGAAGGCTGGTCCCCCACCCATGGAGCAGAGCGAGCAGCTTCCAGGATCTGTGTCCTGGCCCACTTCTACCATGTGGCAGGAGGAGCGATCATCCCACTGTCCTCCTTCCCAGATGCTGGGAGTGGCTGCTGTTACTCCTTGCCATCTGTGATGTTTGTGGTGTCAGAGGAGCCTCTGCTGAGGGCCGTCCCATGAAATATGCATGGCGTGGCCTCTCCTTCTAAATTGCATCTCCTCCTGTGCCAAATTCCCTCCTTGCCTATTTGTCTCACTTTCAAATGTTCCTTCACATTTTACAGCTTCTCAAGCCATCCATAACAGCTTCTCCTGGATTTATTCCCATTGCTGGTGCAGGCGAGAGTGCCCAAGGAAGGACTTGGCTCTGTGCTATCCAGCCTTGGCCATGTTCCCTGTGTGGGATAGAGCAGCATGGCTGTGTCTGTGATGTGTGTTCCAACCATGGGCTGGACTGAGCTTCCCATGTCAGCTGCAGCCACCGTGAGCAGAGACCAGCCCCCTGTGCCAGCAGCACCTGCCTGAGCACGGTGGAGACAGGGACAGTGGCCTTGAGGGCATAATGTCACAGCCAAGGGAGATTGGGAGTGGGGGGCCAGTGCTCTGCAAGGACCCACAGTGGCCCACGAGAGCTTGGTATGGTCCCCACGGCAGCCTGGAGCATCCCTTTTTGATCTCCCTGCCACTAGCAGGGCTGCCAGCTCAGGGATTTTCTCTGCTTCAGGCACCACCATCCTGAGAGAAACCTCATCAGATTTCACCTCCATCAAAAGTGGCTTTTTAACATTTCATCTCTGAGTTTAGGTCTGAGACTAAAGTTTCTTCAGAAACTCAGACCTGGTTTTGCACCCAGCTAGATCCTGCAGGGCTGCAGCTCTGCTGGCACAGCAAGCAGCACTTGGAAGCTTTCCCTGCTAAGACCGGGTGAGTGTTTCCCAGGGGTGACTGGTGCCATTAGAGCCTTTGAAGGGAATTTTCTCTGTGGCAATTGGCTGAGAAACAAGGTTTGAACTAAATCCCAAGAGTTCATATGTGCAGTCTCATCACGACGAGGAACTTTGGGTGAATTATTATTATCTTTAAATGGCACAAAAGAGTTAGCACAGGGAATGTTTTGAAGGAAGTGGATGCTTTTCCAGAGCTTTGTACCCAGCTCTGTCAGAGGCAATGCCATTGCCTGGCTGTCTCTGTGGAAGGACAAGATGTTCCCAAACAAAACCTTACAAATGAGCTCAGGGAATCCCCGTGGTTTCACTGCCGGTTACAGCAATGTCAGTGTTGGGGAGGGCAGGAAAAAACAATTGCAGGAACTAATTTTCCCATCTCCTGCCTGCGCTGAGCATTCCCAGCACAAGATGTCACTGAGGAGCTGGATTTGGACAACTCTTCATCAGTCCGGAGTCATCCTCCGGGAGCCACTGGAAACGGGGCTGGAGAGGTGGGCATGGCGAAGGAATATGGTCACAGAGAAAGGACGTGGGCACAGAGAGGGCATGAGGGCACAGAGAAGGGACATGGGCACGAGAAAGTATGCAGCTGTGATGCAGCTGTGAAACAATCCTGCAAAAAGGAAGGGAGCTACCTGATCTCCCAGGCCAGCTCTCAGGAGCATTCCTGGACGTGGGGTGTCAGGGATGTGCTCGGTAATCTCCGGAGCTCAGCACTGGGTGCGCCGGGGAGGAACAGCTCAGGCAAACGCCTGCCACAAGAAGGACAGGCACTCGCTCTGCCTGGGAAGATCCCGAGGTCCTGCCAGCCCTCTCCGGTGCTCCGTGGAGCAGGCAAAGCCCAACAGCCCCAGCCCATGACGAGGGAGCCAAGTCTGCTGCCTCAAGCAACCTAAGCACCCATGGACCCCACCAAATGAGTGAGGATTCAGCTGAAACTCCTAAAATGTTCACGCACCCATCAGGAGGACAGGGGCAAGTACAGGGGCTTGTAACATCTCTCCCATAACAGGTTCCGCAGGTCTGAGATCCCTTCTCCATGTGTTTCCAGTTCCCCAGACTGGACATACCACAGCCTGCCCCAGGGATGGCTACGAGGGAGCAAACACCCTTTGATGCATCCTTTGGCCCTCCCTGGGGATGTCTGAGCAGTCAGTACCCCCTTTGCCCCTCAGGATTGGCCCCAGTGCTTCCCACAGGTCCCCTTCAGGGCTCCCTTGGGACCTTCACAATTTTCCCAAGGCTCCTCCAAGGGCATGAGCTCCTCTTTGCCCCGCTCCCAGCAGCGCTCCAAGAACAGAGTTCCCTTCAGGCCCCACCCACGGCTCCCCTCGAGCCCAGGGGCACCTGCCCCTCCAGGCCCTCCCTGGGGCTTTCGGGGAGGGAGGTGCCCCTGGGACCGGCTGCTTCAAGGGGATGGGACTGGGGAAGGCACCGGGCAGGCAGCTGGGGGAGCGGGGTGCACTGGGCAGGGTGGCTCCAGTCCTGGTGCTGGCCCCGGTGACCTTGCTAGTCCCGGTTCCTATCCCCGACCCGGTACCTATGCCAGCATTGGTCTTGCTCGCAGTTCCGATCCCAGTGCCAATCCCGGTACCGGTGCTGGTCCCGGTTCCTGTCCAGGTCCGAGTCCTGGTGCCCCTTCCGGTTTCGGTTCCAGCGCCGGTCTCGGTGCCGGTCCCGTTCCCAGTTCCACTGCCGGTCCCTGTCCTCGTGTCGGTGCCAGTCCCGGAATTAGTCCCAGTCCCAGTGGCGATCCCGATCCCAGTTCCCATCCCCGTGGCGGTGCTGATGCCTGTCTCGGTGCCAGTGCCAGTCCTATTCCCAGTCCCGCTGCCGGGCCGGTGCCGATCTCAGAATCAGTCGCTGTCCCAGTGCCGGTGTCGGTGCCGGGGCAGGGCCGGGCCGCGGGGCCGGTTCCGGCGGCAGCAGAGCGCGGCCAAAGGCGGGGCGGAGCGGGGCCGTGGAGCAGAGCCCGGGGGCGGTCCCGCGCGGGCCGTACTTAAGGCGGCGGCGGGCGGCGGCCCCGCCGTACCCATGGCTCTCCCGAGCGCCGCCCGGGCGCTCCGCGCCGCCGTTCGTCGGTGCGATCCCCCGAGCCGCCCGCGCTCCGCGCCCGCCGCCGCCCCTCGCGGGTTCTCCCCGGCGGCGGCGGGTGCGGGACCCCGGCCGGGGCCGCCCCCTCCCCCGCGGAGCGCAGAGCGGGGCCCGCCGCCGCCCGCCGTGGATTTCGGGGACCCGCGCGAGGCGTTCCGCAGCAAGAGCAACGCGGAGCTGCTGCGGGGGCTAGTGGTGCTAGGGCTGTGCGCCGTGGAGCCGCTGGTGCAGCACAACCGGGAGGTGGGTGGAGGAAGGGGTCTGGCTTGGGGGGCTGCTCCGGAGCGGGGCTCGTCCCCGGCCCTGGACCGGCGGGGCTCTCGCTCAGAGGCGCCCGCTCCGGGAGGTGTCAGCCTCCTTCTGGAGGGGGTTCTTGCTCCGGGAAGTTCAATTTTGGGACTGCGAGCCCCAGCATGGGCAGCGCCCCTTCCGGACGTGTCGGTGCGGGATGGGGATTCTGTCGCTCCAGGGGTGAATGCCCCGAATGGGAGCATCTTTCGTTCCGGGAGAGTGCCTGTTTTGCAGGATGCTGGTGCGTGCCAGGGATACTCTCACTCCGGGAGGTGCCGGTCCTGGGCTGGGGGCGCTCTCACCCTAGGGGTGCCCATTTCGGGACTTGTCATTCCCCTTCCAGGGGGACTCTCGGTCTGAGGGTGCGAGTGTTGGAGAGCTCTTGGACCCGAGCCGGCGGCAGCCCGTTTTGAGGAATGCCAGTCCTGGGTCGTGGGGACTTCTCCTACGGGAGTGCCCGTGCGGGACGGGTGCTGAGCCGCCGCTGTCCCGCAGCTGCTGCAGTTGTGCCAGCGATTGCTGGGGCAGACGCTGTTCGAGCGGCTGATGAAGATGACGTTCTACGGGCAGTTCGTGGCCGGGGAGGACCAGGAGGCCATCAAGCCGCTGCTCCGGCGGAACCAGGCCTTCGGCGTGGGCGCCGTGCTGGATTACAGCGTGGAGGAGGACCTGGGCGACGGGCGGTGAGTGCGGGGCTGGGGCGGGGAGGGGGCGGGCCCTGGCCGCGCTGCCATTGGCTGCGCCCGCCCAGCCCCCCGCTCCCATTGGCTGCTGGGCCGTGCGTCACGGCCTCGCCCCCCGTGGCACCGCCCATTCAGCACACGGGGGTGACAGTGCCCCGCACAGGGGGGCACAATGGCCCGCACTCGGGGGTGACAGTGGCCAGAACACAGGGATGGCAGTGACCCGCACATGGCGGTGGCTGTGTCCTGCACACTGGGGTGCTGAGCCCCCACTGGGCCGTATCGCTCCCCCCGCCCCTCTTCACATACCGGGTGCTGCCCCCCTGTCTGCTGCACCCCTCTGTCCCCATCTATTCCCTTGCACACACCGGAGTGCACCCGTTCCCGGCGGTTCTGTACACCTCGAACCCTCCTGCACACCCTGAGGGGGTTCCCACCTCTATTTTCCATCTCCTATGGGATGTTAACCACTCCCCCACCCCCCGTCCATTCCATCTTCCCTCTGCCAGCCACGTCCTATTTTCTCCAACCCCCTGGAGCGCTGTTTCCCTCCCCCCCAACCCCTCTGACACAGACAGACAATACACAGCGTCGCTGTCACGCCTGAAGTCCCCCTTCCCCCTCCCCCCATCGGGATGCTGACCCCCATTCCTGCCCCCGCCATTCCCCACCATACAAATGCTGCTTCACACATTTTGGTGGACTCAATGATCTTGGAGCTCTTTTGCAATCTTAACAATTCCATGATTTCATTATTTCCACCCTCCACCATTTCCACCTCTCTCAAGCTGGGGTAGTGCCCCCCTTTCCCGCACTGCCCCGCAGTCCCAGGCAGTCTTCACTGCCTCCCGCCCTCTGCCAAGAGCTGGCACCAGCCCAAAGCTGCCTGTAACTTTCCATTATTCGGGCTCCAGTTCCGGTCAGTTGCACTCTCCGGATCGATGGGCCGCTGGCCGTCACCCCGCGGTCACGGGGGTGGGCGGTGTCCCCCCCACCCACAGCAAGGGTGGCCCTACCGGAGGACACTGGCTGAGGATGCGCCATCCCCCGGGCAAGGCTGCACGGCGGCAGTCGCTGCTGGCAGCTGGGGACACCGTCCGGCTGTCATATGCTTGTCACGTGCTGTCAAAAACACAGCGGGAACGGCTTTTTAGGGTGGTTTGCGAGCAGAATGTGAGTCAGGCAGGTGGTGCCGCTGCGCGCCTTATCTCTGGTCCACACCCGGGAACTGCTTATCGGGGATCCCCATGTGCCAGTGCCCCTCGCTGCTGCTGCCGCTGTCACACATCCCCAGGAGTGAAGGGTCTGTGGGTCCGTGATGGGAGCACACACTGCTGAGGGCAGCGTGGGCACGAGAGCTGTGCGTGGGGAGGCAGGGCTGCACCATCCCAGAGCGGGCAGGAAACTTTGGGGTTTTTCTAGAAAAGCTTCAAAACACCCTGCTGCTGCCAGGCAGGAGGGTGGCTGTTTTGAAGGTGTGTGGCTGTTTTTGAAGGTTAGCTGTTTCTCCCCTGGACATCCAGCCATGGTCTGGGCAGTGTTCAGCATTCCCAAGGGGCTGAGCCAGCAGCACTGGTGCTGTCAGGCTGTCACTGCTGCCACCAGGCTGTCACTGCTGCCCTCCACGCCTGGCTGTGCCTGGGCCAAGGGCTTTGGCGTGGGGAACCATAGAAGACTTTCAGACAGGCTCTGCCTGCAACTGTATCCCTCCTGCTGATGGGTGCCGGTGGTTTGTGAGCTGGCTGGGCTGTGCTGCTCCCCGCCACTGCAGATTTGGGGTTTGCATATGTGGTACTCCTGGCTAAGAGAGTTCAGCCTGTGCTGTGTGGGCCATTCATATCCAAGAGACTTCCCAAGGCATCCCTGCCCAAGCCCCGGTGGGATTTGCCTGGATATGAGGAAAAGGGTCTTCACCCAGAGGATGGTTGGGCACTGAACAGGCTCTCCAGGGAGTGGTCATGGTCCCAAGGCTGCCATTCAAGGAGCATTTGGGTAATCAGGCACGGGGTGAGACTGTTGTCCTCTGCAGAGCTAGGAGTGGAACTTGATGTCCTCATTCATCCCTTCCACCTCAGGATGTTCTGTAATTCTCTGAACAAGGACTGAGCCCAGAATGGGACTGGATGTGTTATGCTGAATGGTGTCCTTTGCCAGCCATCACTCTTGGTCCTCCCTGGCTCTGTTCGGAGTAAAATCCCAAATTCTCAGTGCTTCTGCCAGGGCTGGTGCTGAGTTGGGCTGCACGTGGTTGAGAGAGGTGGGCAGTCCTGCGTTCCTGGCTGCTGTGTCCCAGAGCTGTGTCCTTCCCCTTGGTGAATGCTTTGGGATTGTGCTGCTGCCAGCCAGGAAGCGGAGCTATAAACCACAGCAGTCAGTGGGTGTTTTGGCCTCCGGGTACCATCTCCTGCTGTTCTTCTGGAGTAAGCTCGACACAATGGCAGGGAAATGCCCTTTCTGCCCCAGCAATGGGCTGTGGCACCTTTTTCACAGCCTTTCCGGCTGGGAACAACAATGCAACATGGGCAAGAACCGGCTTATCCTGCCTGCCGCAGGCCCCTGCCTGCCCTGCTCAGGCTGGCATCCAGGACTCTGCCAGCTTGTCCCAGGAGGCCTCAGCCACGTGCTGAAGGCTGCTGCCAGGTCATGGTGACACAGCTGGAAAATAAGTGCTCTCCAGGCAGAGGTCTGGGGGCTTCAGTGTGGCTGCAGCCCTGGGTGGGGGGTAGAGAGACAGCACTGGGCCGGGGCTTCTGGTACCTGTGGGGTGAAGCAGCGAGCCCCCCTATAGTGAAGGAGGTTGTAGTCTCCTGGCAGCCTTGGGACCATTGCTGGCACACAGGCATCCCAAGTCTGCACACGAGTTGGGGTTGTGCTGACACAGGGGAGGGACAATCTTGTCCCTAGCATTGTCAGATGCTCTTCAGGCTCTGCTATGCAGAGTGTGGACTTGGGTTCCTCTAGAAATTCCATGTGTGGATATCTGACACCTGCCCCAGTGTAGGATCACTGTCCCCAGCCTGGGCAATGCTGCTCCCAGAGCTGCTGCCTCCCCTTCTCTTCCTGTTCCCAGTGCTCATTCCCAGCTGCCACCCCTATCCTGTGCTTTGTCAGCATGTTCCCTGGGATCATGGGGCAGCTTCTCTTTAGCTTCAAGCTCTCCAAGGCCTGTGGTGGTCCTGGGCTGGTGTGTGCTGACAACTCCTGCACGGAGCAGGTTGAAGGTGTGTTCTGCCAAGAGCTTTGCTTTATTCCTACCCATGGGATTTTAAGCACCACCCATAGCTCCAAAATGGACTTACGTTACTCTGAGTCTTTTCCTTGGACGTAGTAATTCAAGGACAGCTTTTCCCTGACCCCTCATCCCCTTTGCCAGACCCATTGTTGATGAGCAAAGCACACACGCTGTGCTGCCGGCACCCTCCGGGTAACCTGGGGGGCCAAAGGGATTATTTCCAACAGCGGGACCTTTGTGCTGCTCCTGAGCTGGTTTACTTGGCCTGATCCAAAACTTCCTGAAAGCCCCATCTGCTGTGTCAGCTGCATTACCCTTCCCAGCCATCCTGCAAGTCCTCACAACCTGCTTTAGGCAAGTGTGATCTCCCAGGCCCTGAGCTCAACCTTGAGGCTGTTCCTGTCTGGATACAGCCTGCCAGGAGCATCTGGACAGCACCTGGAGATGGGATGTGCTCTGGGAGACTTGTGGGTTTGTAGAAGGGATGGTCAGGTATAAGCTAGGTTCAGTGGCACTTGGTGGGTGAGGGAATGGCTTTTCTGGCCAAGATTAATATCACAAAGTGAGCAGCTGATATCCAGGACAAAGTTATTTCTTCAGCTGGAAGCATCTTCCTTTATTTTGCTTGATTCAGAAGAACAAAGCGAGCACCGTGGCACTACTTTGAATGCCCTCTAGAGGATGAAGGAACAGCTGGTGCAGTCATGCAGCAGAAATGCTGCTGGGAAGGGTGTGTTTATCTTCAGGAACATAAAACACTCTAACTCTAAGGGCGCTGTTTGCTATTTGCCTTCACTCCAGCCATTTGTCCCCAGTACCTTGGATGTGGTGCCCGGGGTGTGCTCAGAGCTGTCCCCTGCCCACAGGACCCATGTGTGCCCTCATGTCACAGCAGTATTCAGCTGAAGCTGTCCCCTGTGCCATGCTGCCTGCTCCAAAGGGAGCTTCCACCTAGCAAAGGCTTTGCTGGCAAATCCCATTGCTGAGTGTATGATCTCTCCTCTTTCCTTTCCTCCACCCTCTGTACTCAGGGACAGAAAGCTGCTTTCCCTGTCCTCAGGTGAGTAAAATCAAGGAGCAGAGCCTGCTAGATATGGTGCCTTCTGCTTCCCATGAGCTCCAGCTGCTCCTGCCCTGGCTCATGCCAGGCTTTGTGGCACTTTGAGCGATGTGGGGCTGGTCCTGTCTCCAGGGGGCCAGAGGGAACGGCTTGTTTCAGGTTGTTATGCTTCCAGCAGCCCCTAATCCCTGTCACAGGGTTTTCATATGGGAGAATGTGTCCTGGGACCCTGCCATGTGCCTCTCTGCTCTCTTGGCCAGCTTGCTGGCTCTGGATGGGTGGCTTTGCTGCTTCCCTTGCACGGTGCTTCTTCGCCATTGGGTACGGCCAACTGGGGACAGGGATGCCAAGGCAGAGGCCTCCTGAAGGGGATGGCTCTGCTGCCACCCAGGGCTGCTCTCCAGGGGCTGGCCCCGTTCCAGGTCAGACCCTGGGTCTGTGGCTGGGTTTAGGGTGTCAGCAAGAAGGTTTAGCTACTCAAGCTCAGTTAGTATGTTGTGACTTGGCCATCATCCCCCAGGCTGTCAGAGCCCTGTTATCTCCATGACAGAAAGTTTGGGCTTAAAATGACATCCGAGGTCAGCTGGAGTTGAAAACAAGGTGTTGTTTGTGAGTTGTTGGCTGAAGCAATGGCACAGAGGAGTGTGAGGCAGCAGGCACCCTTGGCTTGGTGTGCTCAGGGTCTGGAGAAGCTCCGTGCTTTGTGGTCTGGCTGCTGGTGCCATCAAGGTGAGGACGCAGTGGGTTGAGGCTTGGTGTCACCACAGCAAGGACCATGAGCAGGACGGAAATGGAGCATGCCAACCCCACCGGCCTGACCTTGTCTTTGCAATGGTGTGGTCTTTTGGAGAGCAGCTCTGAACCCTGGGACAGGCCGTCCTCACTGTTCTGCCACAGGGCTCGCAGGTCTTCCCTGGATGGATGGTGAAGCCCTGTTCCCTTCCACAGGTGGGTTTTGGGCATCTGAACTGCCAGCTGGATCCCATCGGTCATGGGATGGTGAGGGAACAGCAGGGTCCAGCACCAGGATGGCAGCACAGGAGCCTCAGAGCTGTCCTGCCCATCAGCGTAGGGCTGCAGCGGGTTGCTGAACTGGCCCTTATCTTTCCTGTTTCTCTTCTTAGCTCCCGCACCTCTGCAGCCGAGAAGGAGATGGGAGGTGAGTGACAGGAGATAGCCTGGAGGTCCAGGCACGGCAGGCCTGGTGTTGTGGGGGAAGGACCCAGGTACCACAGCCTCAAAAAATGAGCTGGAGGAAGAGCAACGTGTCTCCTGGCCCAGTCTTGCCCCTCAGCAAAGACTCGGCTTCTGCTCTGGCACAGAGCAAGCAGGGCCCATGTCAGCGCTGGGGGCTCTCTGAGCTCCAAGCCAGAGCCTCTCTCCCTTCAACCACACTGGGAGCTCCTGGGGAGGCTGTGGGAGCTTGGTGGGGCGTGGCCCATCTCCATCCTCTTCCACCCCAGGAGCAGAAAAAAGGGAGAAGCAATACCGAGCCCATCAGGGATTTGGGGATCACCATGGTGGAGTCACTGGGGCGCACACCTATTTTTATGCCGATGAAGCCAAGTGTGACGAGCACATGGAGACTTTCCTTCGCTGTATTGATGCCTCAAGTGAGTGCTCCACGTGTCATGGACAGCCCCACTGTGCTGGGGACTGCCAGGATCTCTCAGTCCTACCACCACCATATCTCTCCTGCCCAAGGGCTGATGGTCAGGTTGACTCTGTCCTTGTGGTTCTATCCAGGTGGCAGCTCAGAGGACGGCTTCTCTGCCATCAAGCTGACAGCACTGGCCAGACCCCAGTTCCTGGTGAGTGCCAGAGCTGTGTCAGAGTGTGGTGGGGCAGAGTCAGGGCCACAGATGCTGCTTCTGCTGGGGCAGGTGCCGGGTGGCATCTCTAGTAATGGCAGTGAGGAGTGAGCACCAACAGCCTGTCCCCTGAGAGCCCAAGACCCCTGCAGACCCTGCCTCAACTTTTGGGGAGACGCAAAGAGCTTAGAACTTTAAAGGTGACATGAAGGTGAATGTGTGGGGTCTATACTGCCCTGCTCTGGGGTCAGCATCTTCCTCGGGCTGGGTGTGATCTTGCAAAGCCCTGCCAGGATAGGAGGCTCCAGCCCGGGTGTCTCACCTGGAGCCTTGTCTCCACAGGTGCGTTTCTCAGAGGTGCTGGTAAAGTGGCGGAGGTTCTTCTACCAAATGGCTGCAGAGGAGGGCCAGGCTGGGTGGGCAGTGCTGGACACAAAGCTGGAGGTGGAGAAGCTGCAGGTGAGGCAGGTGCAGCCTGTGGGAGGAGGCTGTGCTGCAGGGATGCACTGCTGGAGGTGCTGATGGATACAGAGGTGCCAGAGCAGCCCTGAGCTGTGACACCTCAAGCAGACACATCCCTGATGCTTCTTTTGGCGGCAGGAGGCACTGGCCAACCTTGGCATTGCAAGCAAGGCAGAGAGCCAGCAGTGGTTCACAGGCGAGAACCTGGGCAAGAGCGGGTAAGCTGCCTGGGAACTGGGGGTGCTGCAGGGCAGGGACTCTGGGGGATTTTGTCCCTGTCCCTGGGGCAGCAGCAAGGGGAGGTCTCCAAAGGCCTGCTGTGGCTCAGCATAGCAACGGAACATAGGGGAAGTTTGGGTGGAGGTGACAAGGCAGGACAGGGCGGCACATGTCATGTGTCCTTCCTGCTGGTGGGGGCTGGGAGCTGATAGAGAGCCCCCTGCCTTTGCAAGACACCAGCAAGGACCTGGCTCTCTGCTCCCAGCACTGTGGACCTGCTGGACTGGAACAGCCTGTTTGACAGCCGCACCAAGCTCTCCAGGCCTCTGCTCATCCCCAACAGGAAGGTGGGTACCCACCTTTGCTACCCCCAGAGTGGTCCCACAGAGGCTTTGTGGGAGCAGGGCAAGGGTCTCATGCTCTTTCCAGTAGGTGCTGGTGTCTGCAAAGCTCAGCCATGCTGTGACCACAGTGTGCAACCACCAGGCTGGCAGGATGGGCACCCTGTTACGCCCTGCTGGCTGGTGGGGACTGGGGTGGGGCAGCAGTCCTGGGGATGGGTTCCCTCCAGGGGCGTTTGTGTCCCCCATGGGCAGAGGTGGGTGCAGGCGGGGTGCCACAAAGCCATTCTTGTTTCAGACTGGGCAGCTGGAGCCTCTGCTGTCACGCTTCAGCGAGCAGGAGGAGCTGCAGATGAAGAGGGTGCTGCAACGCATGGATGTCCTTGCAAGGGTGAGGGGGCCTTGGGGCTGGGGACTCACAGAGGGGGACACATGGAACTATGAACCCAGCCCGCATGTCTTTCACCCCCCAGAGAGCCATGGAGAAGGGTGTGAGGCTGATGGTAGACGCGGAGCAGAGCTACTTCCAACCGGCCATCAGCCGCCTCACCGTGGAGACGCAGCGCCGCTTCAACAGGAGCCAGCCCATCATCTACAACACCTACCAGTGCTACCTGAAGGTGGGGCCAGCGTGTCCCAGGGCACTGGGGCCGATGCATGGAGACCTCATCTCCTGAAGCCATGGCAGTGCAATGGCACAGCTGCTGAGGCAGTCAGGGCTGGCACTGGAGTAATAACCCTGTGCCATCTCTTCCACTTGGTCACAGGAGGCTTACAACAACGTGACAGGGGACGTGGAGCTGTCGCGCCGGGAGGGCTGGCACTTCGGCACCAAGCTGGTGCGTGGTGCCTACATGGAGCAGGAGAGGGAGAGGGCGGCTCAGATGGGCTACGAGGATCCCATCAACCCAACCTATGAGAAGACCAACGAGATGTACCACAGGTAGGGGACAGCCCCAGCCACACTGCTGCCTGTTGCCCCAGTGGGAAGAGGCCTCACCAGAGGCCTGTCTTGCCTTACAGGTGCCTGGAGTATGTCCTGGAGGAGATCAAGCGCAGCCGGAAAGCCAGCGTGATGGTGGCATCTCACAATGAGGACACCGTGAAGTTCACCCTGCGCAGGTGGGTGCTGGCCAGGCAGCGTGGTGAGGCAGGGACAAGGGGTTTGAGGAATGTGGGGGCCCAGCAGAAATGCTGGAAGATGTGCTGTGGTTTGCCAGGTCCCCCCTGAGCCCACTTGGGGGGATCCCGGCTCCCACGTGGTGCTCAGGGCTTTAGATGGGGCTTGGAGCTGAGGTCCCATCAGCAACCCAGAGGCTGCTGTAAAAAAATAAATCCTTCAAGCTCTACATCCCAGCATCCCTCTGGGATGTGGTCAGTACCACACTGTCCTACTTGGAGATGATCCCCAGTTGTCTGGTGGGACACACTGCCCTGGTGAGCTCTGCTGTGTCTGCTCTCCCCCTATGCTGAGGCTTGTTTTGCAGGATGATGGAGCTGGGGATCCATCCCTCAGACAAGAAGGTGTGCTTTGGGCAGCTGCTAGGCATGTGTGACCAGATCACCTTCCCCCTGGGTGAGTGATGGGAGTGGGGGGGCTTGGCAGAGGTGCTCCAGCTGCTGTGGGGTCAAGGAAGGAAGGAAGGAAGGGCTGTCATAGAGCACTGGCTGAGCACAGTGCCTTTCTGTGGGGAATGCTGTGACCCCTGGGTGGGGTTTGGGGAAGATGTAGATGAGGTTATAAGTGAAGAGTCACATCTCTCTCCTGAGGTTCCATGAGCCTGTAGTGGCTGGGCAGGGACATTCCCACTTTGGAGATGGAGCAGAGATTGGGGTCTCAGGGTGGGGCAGAGACTGGTCCTGGCAGACAGAAACCCTCTCCTGTACCTCCTTGGCTTGGGGCGTCCCTTGGCTCCATGGGGGGTGCACACTGAGTCCTGGGCTCTCTGCTAACAGACTGGCACCAGCCTCTTGTATAACTTTGTCCTCAGCCACCAGCCCAGGCAGCAGAGCAGCACTGCCAGGGGCATGGACAGAAGGACACACAAGGGTCCAGGTACCCAGCCCAGGTCAGGAACTGATCCCCTTGCCCACAGCAGTGTCCAGAACAGAGTCCCAAGGCCAGCAGAGCAGCAGGAGGAAAACTGGGCAGCTGTCCAGCACAGATGCTGCTCTGTCCTGGGGTTCTCTTGGAAGCAGGGCTTGGCCGCCCGTCTGCAGCCTCGTCCGGTCATGCTGGAAAAATGTGTTAACTTGATGTTTCTGGTTGAACGCTCCTTGAGCTGGCCCAGCCCCGGCTGCCGACATTCCCAGGGCTCCTGGTGACCTCGGCCCGCTCCCTCTGGCGCTTTCCCAAGCTCTCGGTGCTGAGCCGGGAGAGATGCACCGCTACCCCCCCACCAGGCTCGGCCGCTGCCGGGATCCCCATCCCAGTGCCCAGCCACAGCCTCCTGCACAACCATCAGGGCACGGGAGGGCAGGCAGGGAAGGGCAGGCCGCTTTTTTTTCTTCCCTCCCCCCTTTTTTTATTTGCCTCCCTGTTTTTTCTTCCCCCACCCTGTTTTTTCCTGACCCCTTTTTCTTTGCCCTTTTTTCCCTTCTTCTCCCCATTTTTTCTCCCCATTCCTGTCCCTTTGCCCCTTCTTTTCCCCCTTGCCCCCTTTTTCCCCATTTCAAGTATCTTCCTCCTCTTTTCCCTTTTCACATTTTTTCACCTTTTCCCTCCTTTTTTTACCTTTTTTTTTTTCCTTTTTGCACACTTTTTTTCTCTCTCGGCAATTCCCTGAGCCGCAGCCTCTCTCCCTCAGGCCAGGCGGGTTTCCCCGTGTACAAGTACGTGCCCTACGGGCCGGTGAACGAGGTGCTGCCTTACCTGTCCCGCCGGGCCCAGGAGAACAGGGGCTTCATGCAGCGGGCGAACCGCGAGCGGGACCTGCTCTGGAAAGAGGTCAAGAGGCGTCTCCTCACAGGAAACCTCTTCAGCCACTGACCCCAGCTTCAGCCCTGGGGCTCCTGTACCTTCGCCCTGAACCACTATCACCATTCCCCATCCCAGTTCTGCTGCAGCTCCCCCAGCCCCTTTGCCCTGGGAGAGAAGTGTCCTTGTTGCTGTTGAACCACTCACACCTTCGGTGGCCTCTGCGATCGCCCTGCTGGCACTGCTGCTCCAGGGATGTCCCTCTGCCATCCCACGGCCTGTCGAGCTGTCCCTGGGGAGATGCTGGGGCTCTCCTGTCAGACTGCTCTGTGCCTTGATGAACGCTGTCCCAGTGTTTTTTCCCTGGCAGGATTGCACAGGGTGATTTATCCACTTGCCTTGTGCCCATGGGCTCAGGTCCAGGTGGGCTGGGTGACTTGGGGACAAGCTGGCCTCAGCCAGAAGCTCCTCCAGCCTCTGCCAGGGTTGGAGCTTAGCCTCCACCAGACCTTTGTAGCGCAGGATCAGCCCCTGTTGCCTGTTCCAGACAGCTACCTGCCTGCTCACTGGCTTTGCACTGACCAGAGCTGGGCAGGTCCACGCTCTCCCCCATCCCACTGGGATAAGCTGCCTGGGGTTGTCCATCCTCAGGCACATGTCCAATGGAGCAGGAGGGGTGAGGGGAGTGGGCTGGCCCCATCCCTGTACCATTCCTGCCCACAGTGCCTGGTTCTAATGATGGACCACGGCAGTGGGAGCACCAGGAGCTGGACCACAGCTCGTCTCTGCTGTACACTGGATTTGTAGAGAATGGAAATTATTAAATCACAACTGTTCCTGCTCCCGTCTCTCTCTCTCTGTTCTTGGGCAGCCACATGTGTCCAGGCACTGCCGTGGTCTCAAAGGGGGGTTAATGCTGCATGCTTGGCCTGAGACAGAGCCTGGAGAAAGGAGTGAGACCAAACTTCCTGGGACAGGGACTGGAGAAGCTGTGAAGCTTCCTGTGATGGGTTTGGGGGAGCTGGGAGCCCTGGGCCATCCCCGTACCTGCAGAAGAGGGGGTGGCAGCATGGGAGAGACTTGCTTTTGGGGGACATGCACTCTGCAGGCTTTCATGCCTCAAATTAGGGGCACTTTTTCCTGGGATCTGCAGGACCACAGACATCTCTGGGATTCCCTGCCTGGAGCTGTGGCAGTGTCTCCTTTTTTCCAGGGTCAGCCCCTTTACTTGGTGAGCCACCCACAACAAAGGAGTGATGTTTTGGCTTTCCAGAGCTGTTCATCTCCTGCCTTTCCTCTAGCTGAGACTCTTCTGCCTTAAAAAAATAAACCTGGAGGGGAGCAGGGAGCCTTGCCTGGAGCATGGGACCAGAACAGCACTGGTGCAGGCAGCAGCTGGGCTCTGGGAATTTAAAGGAAGATGGGAGATGTTCTAGGCCCTGGGCTGCCTTCCAGCCCATGCAGGGTGCTGTGACAGTGGCACAGAGTACCCTGGTGCCCCAGGGGCTGAGCTCTGATGCTGCAGCTGCACCCAGGGCTGGCTGATGCAGGAGCACTGTGAGCTTCTGCAAAGACACACAGACATCTGTGTAGGAGGGCAGGAGAAGCCTCTCTTGGCCCTCTTTTGTGCAGATAATCCCCTCCCCAGCCCTCTTCCTAGGACAGGACAGCTCAGCAGCCTGGGTCAGTGGTGTTCTGTGCGCCTGTTCGCAGGGGCTGTGTGGGGCTGCAGGTGCTGCCTCCTGAACACCCAAGGCACAGAATGCCCTTGAAACCCCCAAATCCCCAGTTCCCCACAACCTTGAACAGAATGTTCTCAGCTGGAAGGGACCCACAAGGATCCAGCTCCTGGCCCTGCCAGATCCAGTGATCCAGCCCAGCTCCTGTCCCTGCCCAGACGCCCCGTCGCTCCGCCGCTGATGGCGGCCCGCGGGCTGCGGCCGCCTCGCCGCGCCCGGGCCGGGGCCGCGCTGCTGCCGCTGCTGCTGCTGTCGGTGCTGAGCCGCGGAGCCGCCCAGGAGCTGAGCCCCCGCGGCAGGAACGTCTGCAGGGCCGCCGGGTAGGAGCGGGGCCGGGCAGGTGTGCGGGGCGGGACGGGACCCCCAGCGCCGTGCCGGGGCCGGGGCCACGGGACGGGACGGGACGGGCTCGCCGGTCCATCCCCCATCCCGGGCAGCCGCGGCGCTGGGCGCCTTCCAAGACAAAGTCCGTCCTGTGCGCGGCTGAGGTGGGGGGAGCCGGCGGCGGGGAGAGCGTGAGGAGCTGAGCCCGAGCGGGGCCAGGGACTTGGGGGCTGGTCCTGATCCCCGGGGGGCTGCGAGGAACCGGTCCTGGATACTTCCGGAGACAGTCCTGGATGCCCGGGGCCGGTTCTGTTGTAAGGAGCTGGGTTTGGGTGTCTCTGGGGATGGAGTCATGAGAGGGCGGAGAGCAATCCTGCATCCCTGGGGCAGGATCTGCGCTGGGGACCCGGTCCTGGGTGTCTCCGGGGATCGGGTTGCACTGCTGACCCTGGGGTGGTGGGATACAGGATGCTCTGGGCATCATGGTGAAGCTGCCCCAGGCTGGTGGGGATTGTGGAGTTGGCAGCCCCAGGACTCTCGTGTTTGGCTTCTGAAAGTGGGTGCTAGCACTGTCTATCTGTCCGGGGGATCGTATCCTGCCTGCCTGGCTGGGGCAGGGTCTCAGGAGATGGCACTGACTTATTCTAGCTCCCAGTGGCCTCCGTGTCCCACGGGTCCCTTTGCAGAGCATCATCTCAGCCGAACTCCTCTGCAGCACTCAGGCTCGGTCTGCCCTGGCTCCTGGGCCAGGCTGGCCCCAGCAAGAGGGGAGAGAGCCCACAGCCGCTGCCTCCCGCCTGGGAGAGCTGGATCCCCTGCGCTTGATGGGGGGCCCAGGCCATAAATGCACCTTTACGTCTCGCCTGTGAGGTCAGACGAGTCCACAAGGAAAACATGTGCTTCGAGCGAGAGGGGCCGCATAATGGCTCCATTCAGCAGGGCCACAGGGCGCTGGTGCCCCCTCCTCAAATTACAGCCGGAGTTTCCTAAGGAGGCATTTCACCAGCCAGAGCGGCGCAGCTCCCAGCGGTGCTGTTCCTTGACAGCAGGGAGCCGTCCCTCCCCGGCTGCCCGCCATCTGCACAGCAAAGCTGCCACTGCACCTTGGGGTGGCAGAGGGAACTTTAGTGTCCCCACCCTGTGTCTTGTGTGCTGCCCCATGTGCTGGGATGGGTGAGGTGCCTGGCTTCTCCCCCATGCAGAAGGACCCCCTCATCCTCACTGGATGAAAGTGGGGGAGGTGCTGCACCAGCACCACAGGGCTCAGACTCCCTCACTGTGCCACCCGTGGGTGCCATGGGCTATGAAAGAGGCACTGGCTGTTGAGTGGGACAGGTTGGTTGTGGCCATCCTCCGGCAGGACTGGGGCCTGCAGGCAGCCTAGGGGCTGGAGACGGTAGGGCAGAGACAGTCCCTAGGAAGTTCGGATGAGGTTTGCATGATTTTCTATCCCTCACCCTTCTGCAAACCCTTCTTCCCTCTCCACCCACTAACTCGGCGCCCACCCCCATCATTGCTGTGTACAGTGGACATGGAGGACCCTCCATATGTTACCATCCAAACCCACCCGAGTGGCCCCAAGGCCCTGGTGCTGCAGTTCCTGGGGCCAGGGGCAGTGGAACTGGAGGTGGCTTTGGGAGGAGGTCCCAATGTCCTCCACCCAAAGCTGTTGGAGCTTGTTGGACCCTTACCTCTGCAAAGCCCATCCAGACATCCTGTGGAGATGCTGCCACAGGTTTCAGAGGACTCAGGATTGTGTGACTTCTTTTGACCTGGCTCCCAAGCAGAAATTCAAGGAATAATTTAGAGCAGAAGAAAAGGGCATTTTGGGGCTCTTTGGGGTTTTGTGTTCTAAATTCAACTTGTCCTTAAATTTGAAGTTTTTTTATAACTGGTTTCCCATTGGTATGGGCAAAGGTGCCAGTGGTGACAGCCTGGGCACTGCTTTGACCCTGTCCTGCTCGCTTGCTAACACTCTCTTTTCCTTTGGTCTTTAATTTTTATTTCTCGGTCTGAAGTATTTCTATTTATACCCATGATCCTATTCCTGCCTGCTCTGGGGATAGCTGTCTGTCTGTCTGCACCTTGAGGCTGAGGTGAGGGAGCTGCAGCTGGCATCAGCTGGGGAGTGCCAGTGCCTGGGACCCAGTTGTCCCAGGAACAGTGTGTGCCAGCTGGGTGGCACCAAGTGATGGGTGACAGAGGAAGATGAGCACTGGGGTGATGCTTGGAAGAAGGAGCAGAGCAGGGATGGAGAAGCACTGGGGATGGGGAGGATGCCAGTGTTCTCTGAGCCCCAGGAGTATGCTGGGTGTCCACAGGGCTCCTTTGTAGCTCTGTCCACTGCGTTGGGCTGGGTGGTCTCACATGGGACCCATGCAGCAGCTCCCAGCTGAGTCCCAGAGTCTTATTTCTGCTTTCAGGGATGTGAGCCTCCTCCTCATTATTCAGGGCAGGCTGTGCTGCTCTGATTGAGGAGCCACCCCTCCTGCCTCAGAGGCCTCTCTGTAGCCATTGGCAAAGTGATTTCCCGGAGCCGTGTAGGATACTGATCCACACGGGAAATATTCTACCTCTGTGAAAAGCCTGGCATCATTAGCTGAGATCCCAGTGATGCTCAGCATGAGCAGGACGTGGCTGTTGGCCAGGGGCAAGGCTGGCATGGAGGACTTGTCCCTGCAGGTGACAGCTCCAGCTCTGCACACAGCCCACTCCTTTTCCTCCACATCAGCTGAGGTCTCAAGCCCTGGCCACAGCTCAGAGGCAGCTTTTCATTGTTTTTTTCCTAGCATTTGTAGTGCTTTGAAGGAAAGAAAGTATTTGCAGAGTGGATGTTTGCAGTGCCATGTCCGCGTGGGTCAGGAGTGAGCTTTTAAACACATCTCTCAGTTATCCTTTTCCAGTGGTCAGGGGGCACATGGAGCAAGTCCTTTGTCAAGGAGCTGAGGCCATGAAAGACCTTTTAGTCCCACACTCTGATGACCTGCAGCCAGCACTGACCCTCTGTGGGCTGGCTGTGCTGGGACCAATCCATGTACCCCACTGGAGCAATGGTTTTCCAGTGTCACATCCCGGCTACTTCTGCTTGCCACAGGACCAAGTTTATTTGTTGTCAAAGCTGCTGATAAATGAGATGGGTGCTGAGCAGGGTGTGGGAGGCCATCAGCAGGCACGGGGAAGGAGAGATTAGCTATCAGGGCACAGATAAGCCCAAATCCTGTGAGGCAGTGGCTGGCTCCCAGCTGGGGGTGGATGTGGTGCCACTCATCTCCTCCAGTTCATGGCAGAAGTTTTTCTCTCCTGCCACCACTTCCCAGTAACTCCCAGCTCCCCACCATCAGCTCATCACAAAGGGTATTTTTTGGCATATTTCAGGCAATGCCCGTTTTGGTGGCCAGGCTGGGCTGTTGGAAGCAGGTTTCCCAGGTGGAAGGGTTTCCTCTTGCAAACCTGTGATGGTTTCATTCTAAAAACCAAACCACCAAACTGAATTTCTAAAGGGTGGACTGGTGAAAGCAAGCCCAGGTGCAGCAGTGAGGCTTTGGCCATGCCATGGGAGGGCAAGAGCCCCGTGGGCCCTTCTCCACCTCTGCCTGAGTATCCCAGCACAGCTGGCAAAGCTTTTTGGGGGGCACAGCCTGAAGGCTCTTGCAGAGAAGGACCTTGACTCCAGCCTGCCCAGTCCTCAGGAGGTGATTTGGTGGTTGGCCCCCCTTTGCCATTAACCCCATGCATTAACCCCTCGCATGCTCGGCGGGAGCAGAGCCCCCCCTTGAGCTCCAGGGTCCCTGTGGGGGGTGTTTGTGCTGCTGCCATCGCAGCATCTTGCGGCTGCTTCCACAGGCTGTGGAGATGGAGCTATTTTGGGCTCCGGCTGCAAGGCATTTTTTCCAGGCCTTGAATCATTTTTGTGGTTCTTTTCTGCCTCCTTTCCAACTTTTCACTGTCCGCCGCGACAAGGGGGACGCGGTGCTCCCGGCGGGGCCGGGCGGGAGCTGCGGCCCCAGGACCCCGCTCCGCTGGCAGCTCCCGCCCCGGCCCCAGGATGAGGCGGTCTGGCAGCCAGACGTGGTCCTGTGACTGCACTGCGTTTCGAGCGAATACTTCCTCGCTGTCTCCTCCTCTTCTGCATTTGTTACATATAAAGAGGAAAAGGGGAAAAAAAAAAAAAGAAAAAGCCAGATGCATTCCAGGCTGTACCGCCAGACCAGCCCGGGTGAAGTTTTCCTTGACTGCAGCATCCGCCTGGGCTGTTTGCGACCCTCCAGCATTGCTCCCTTGCCTATGGGACCAGGCGGTGTGGGTCACCCCAAGGATGAGTGAGTGGCTGCAGGGATGCGCAGGGATTTCTGTGGGGTTATGGAGAGCCTACTCCCTACCCCCAACTGCAGCATCTTGAGCCCCCAAACATTTGCCTGGGGGGGTTCTTTGACAAAGTGTGGGTGAGATGTTCCCACATGTCCTTCCCAGCAGAGAGCTGAGCATCCCTGGCTGAGCCTCTGAGTGGGTCTGAGCCCCTATCCTGGTCAAGCTTGTACCAAAAATGTCCTGCCTGATGATCCTGTGCCTGGTAGTCCCTGGACGTGGTGGCACTCAAGGACTCTCAAGAGCTCAGGAACACATTCCAGCTGCCTGCAGTTGGCCTCCCCCTGCTTCTACATAGGGACATTCCCTGGGAGCTGGCTGTGTTCCAGCTATTCCAGCCAGGTGGTTCCAACCTGTCTTTGGGGTTCCATCCCCAGGCCACAAAGCACCCAGCCTGCAATTCATGTTCTTTTATTGTGGAGGTTGCAAACATGACTTTTGCTTTTTCATCACTCCTTAGTAATGGGAAAAACTGGTCCTATTCTTACTCCTGGCATCATCTTAATGGCTGGTGGGGCATCCATGGGATCCCCCAGCAGATCCATTAACTCTCTGTGTGCTGGAGGAGGAGCCGAAAGCTCTCCTTCCCCTTTGGAGGTGCAGAAACTCCCAGCAGGATCTCTCACTGTCATGGCTTCAGTGCTCCTGGTGAGTTTTTGGAAAGGACCAGGACTTTTTGAGGGTTGTAACTATTTGTGATGCTTTTTTTCATCCCTGCAGCTCCTCGGTTCTCGTGTGCTGCCTGGGATGGAGGCAACAAGGGAGCGAGTGTATAATAGGTAAACACCAGCATTTTGCTTCATTGGGCTCTGCCCATCTTTCACTGAGCCCTCCTGGCCTCACCACCACTGTCTGGGGCCGTCTTGGTGTGTCCTGTGGCTGGGCCCCCCTGTCCTGGGGACCTGCAGCCAGATCTTGTCTCCCTGCAGTGCCCCGGGCCAGCACCGTGCGGATGGAATGGGTGCTCAGCCCCAGTGCCAGGGGTCACAGAGCTGTGGGGGTTTCTTTCCTTACCAGCCAGCTCTGGGTCTGAGGACTTGGGGGTGCTGCTAGGGGTCCTAAGGGACAGTGAAGTGTCCCCCAGGGTGAAGGTGCAGCTGCAGGGATGGGGCTGAGATTTCCCACAGATGCTGCAGCAGCATGGGGACCTGAGCCAGAGCCAGCAGTGAAGCCGAAGCAGCCCAGATCAGGCACGTGGTCTCTCGTGGCCTCGCTGGGAAGAGGCTACTGGGGTTGCCAAAGACCACTGAGCTTGGGCTGGGGCTGTAAAAGGTGTCATAGCTCTTTACTGGGGGCCACAGCGAGCCCAGCATGGATGCTCAGCAAGAAACCCTGGGAGCATCGTTCCCTGCATTGCCACCACAATGGAGACAGCTGCTTTGGAGCTCCCCCACAGTCTCAGCTGGCCACAGGGCTCACCACACCCCAGGAGAACTGGAGGTGGCACTTTGCAGCTGGGACCAAAGCCCACATAACCAACTAACCCACTGTGCATGAGGCCTGTAACCACTCGCTGCATGCATTGGGAATGGGATGTGGCGTGTTTGGAAGGGAGAAGGACAGGATCTGGCAGGACAGTGGGGGGAGGATGGTCCCACAGTGAGCTGTTCCCATCTCCTGCCCCCAAACCTGCTCTAACCTTTAGACTCACTGCTCCTAACCTGTGTAATCTGTCTATTTTAGGGGTTTCTATAATATCCATCACCGTAGGTCTAACAACTCCCAGGTAAGGTGGCTGGGATGGGTGGTTGTGTCTCCCTGTCCCAGTGCCTCAAGAAGCTTCTCCAGGGCAGTGTGGGACCTGCGAGTGCTGCCTGCACCACATCCCGTGCTTGCCTGGCTCCAGGCATCAGTCTCAGCATGAGGTCCCCTCAGCAGGAGAAGGGCTGGTGGCCTTTGGGGGCAGGTGGCCACATGGGAGAGGCAGTGCTGGGATGGCAGTGCCCACAACCCCTCTACTCCGTGTCCCCTTCTCCCTTCTAGCAATGCGGAGCTGAGCAAGGGACAACACCGTTGTCCCTCTGGCAGGGACATGGCTTGGCTGGGTGGCAGGAGGCTGGTGGCCAGGATGGGTGGCATCCTCTCTGGGTGGCAGAGATGGAGCACAGCTGGGTGACAGGAGGCTGGTGGAATTTTTCTGGAAAGGGGCCCATGCAGCCCAGTCAGCTGCTTGCCAGGATGGTCACAGTGCTGCAGCTCAGCAGCACTCAGAGGGTCACTGCACAGCCCTTTTTCTGCTCTGGGGGGGGTCTGGGGGGCTTTAGGGAGCAAGCACTGGTACTCATGCCTGCTGTCTGTCCGTCTGTCCAGCTGTGTGCGAGGGGAACTTCACCTGCAAGGAGAACGAGGTATGCGTCAGGCCCGGCGAGTGCCGCTGCCGCCACGGCTACTTTGGTGCCAACTGCGACACCAGTGAGTACTGGAGGGTGCCTTGGTGTCCTCAGGGGGTTCACTGGGATGGACCCGGCTCATCCTGGGGTGACTTTCCAGAGCAGATAATCAGGGAATGCTCTAGCTCTGCCCTTGCCTGTCCCACGGCTCTGTTTCCCAGGGCATTGTCCCCTTGCCGGGGTCTCCTCTTAGATCCGGTGCACAGGGGGGAGGAGAGGGAGGGCTGTGGTCAAGAGGTGCTGTCGGGACTGGGGGTCTCCATTGGTGCCTGGCATGGAGTTGTCCCCGTGGGCAGTGCTGAGGCCGATGGCTCTCCCCACAGAGTGTCCCCGGCAGTTCTGGGGTCCCGACTGCAAGGAAATGTGCACCTGCCATCCCAACGGGCAGTGCGAGGATGTGACGGGCCAGTGCACCTGCAACCTCAACCGCTGGGGCCCCAAGTGCGAGAACATCTGCCTCTGCAAGCATGGCAAGTGCGACCAGAAGACGGGCAAATGCACCTGTGAGCCCAACTGGTGGGGCCCACAGTGCTCCAGCTCCTGCTACTGCAGCCACAACTCCCAGTGTGACCAGCAGACAGGCAACTGCCTGTGCCAGCCCGGCTGGTGGGGCCGTGGCTGCAACAACCAGTGCTCCTGCAACAACTCGCCCTGCGAGCAGTTCACGGGGCGCTGCCAGTGCCGGGAGAGGACCTTCGGGCCTCGCTGCGACCGCTACTGCCAGTGCTACAAGGGCAAGTGCAACCAGGTGGACGGGACCTGCACCTGCGAGCCGGGCTACCGGGGCAAGTACTGCCGCGAGCCGTGCCCGGCCGGCTTCTATGGCCAGGGCTGCAGGAGGCGGTGAGTGGCCATCCGTGCTGGCTCTGATCTGGCACCAGTGGGAGGTGGCAGCAGGAGGATTTGGGCTGTGCTGGGTGATGGATTCCCCTCGTTGCAGGTGTGGGCAGTGCAAGAGCCTGCAGCCGTGCACCGTGGCCGATGGGCGCTGCCTGACATGTGAGGCGGGCTGGAATGGCACCAAGTGTGACCAGCCCTGCTCGCCCGGCTTCTACGGAGAGGGCTGCGAGAAGCTCTGTCCCCCCTGCAAGGATGGCCACACCTGCAATCACATCAATGGCAAATGCTCCCACTGCAACCCGGGCTGGATCGGAGACCGGTGAGTGCGGCTGGGTACAGCATTGGGTTCTGGGAGAGCAGTGCCTGGCTTCCCTGATTCTCCCAGGGAACAGGGTCACTGAAGGGTTTTGCAGCCCTGGAACTGATCCTGGGCACAAGAGTTTGCAGAAGAGCATCCCAGCTTGAGAGCTGAGACCCGCTGACCCATCCTGGGTCCGAGGGGCGTAGGCAGGGGTCTCGCAGGCTCCCTCCAGTTCCATGGCCATGTCAGTGGGCTCGGTCCATCCCTGTACCCCTCTCCTGGCTTCAGACACCACATGCCACCAGGGTGATATACAGCCCTGTCTCCGTGCATGTGGAGGGATGCTGGAGGTCCCCGAGTGCCATGGGTGCTCCAGCCACTTGCCCTCATCCCTCCCAGGTGTGAAACCAAGTGCCGGAACGGGACATACGGGGAGAACTGCGCCTTCGTCTGCAGCGACTGCGTCAATGGCCAGTGCCACTTCGAGACTGGGCAGTGCCTCTGCCACCCCGGCTCCCATGGCACATAGTAAGTGAGGCACTGGGGACCATGCCTGGGGGCACCTCATGGCACAGGTGATGCTCAGGCACCTCCTGCCCCCTTGTGTCCTATGCTGTTGCCAGCTGAGAGGTTTTCTACAGTGGAAGCGTGCTTGGGCAATAGTTTGGATGATTTGGTGAGCAGAGGGGGAAGGACAAGCTCACAGAGCAGCAAGGGCTGTTACACTTTAGAAAAGGCCTGTTTGGCAAAAACAAATCAAAGAAAAGTGGTGGTTTGTTGGAGGTTTTTAAGTCCAGGGTGGAATTTCTTTCCAAAAACAGAGAGAAAACCACATCGCAGAATAATAAACAGCCTCACAGGCATGGCATTCCTGGGGGGCTCCCACTTAAAGCTCTGCCTGTGGCTGGGGCCTTCCCCAGGCCTCCTCCTTCCCCCACTCCAGGGCCACAAGGGCCATCGAGGGTCTACTCACATCCCCAGGTTGTTTTTCCCAGTGTGGGACTGAAGTGTTGTTTGAAAAGATGAGGAAAGCATTTTCCACCCAGCTGGGACATGCAGACAGCTCTCCCAGGTCCTGCTGCATGGTGCTCAGGTTTTCCCAGCAATTAACAGAGGGTGACAGCAAGGACGGGGATTTGGAGCTGGCATCTTGCCCATGCTGGCATTTCACTCAGAGCTTAAAAACATTTACATTTTGGGGGGTGGTGTTGTGGGACTCTGCCAACTACCTGTGGTGCTGGAACAGTTGCTGGACACTGGCACCAGTTTAGGATGCCCAGCCTGGGCCTCATGGCCACCTTTGGTAGCAAAGGCAGAGGTGAGAGGGTCTCAGGGGGTGTGGTGATGCTTTCGACGCAGTGCCAGAGGGCAGAGTGTGGATTAACCTGTTCTGAGACCCTGGCACAGCACTGGGAAGGTGGGGATGGGGGATGCTCAGGATGCAGCCTTGGTGCTGTAACCTTGAGCTGAGCTGTGCCAGGTGGTGCACTCAGGCAGGCTCAGGAACGTTCTGGGTGCTCAGGCAAATCCCTGTGACTATATCCAAGCCAGCGTTTTTGTCAGCAGGGTACAATTTTGCTAAAAAGAGGATTACTGCAATGAAGGCACAAGCAACATCCTTGCCATACAGCATGTTCTCTCAGCTCTGTGTCAGGAGGAGGCTAAAGGAGCAGCTGCTAAAATATTTATGTGTGCACAAAGTGCTTTATTTTCTCTGTCTTTCCCAGAAGTGTCAGGACTCTCCTCCTGTGCTCTCCCAAAATCTCAGCCTGGGACAGAACTGTGGGGCCGAGTGGTGGGGTGAGAGGTTTGGCCTTGCTGGGGCACTGTCCCTGCTCCTGTTCTGCTGCTTTATCTGCCCCGTGCAGCACAGCAGACGCAGAAGCTCAGCACCCATCCTGGCAGGCATATGATAGGCACACAACTGGCACATGACAGGCACACGGCAGGCACGAGGCTTGGCCAAGGTGGCACTTTGCAAGTTGTTGGAGTGTGAAATGGGCTGAGCCGCCTCAGGGCATGGTGCCCAGGGCTGGGGGCAGCTGTGTCCCCAGGGGAGTGGGTTTGGGCTGGGGCCCACTGGCTCCTTCCAGCTGCAGCCACTCCAGCTGGGATGCAGCTGGCAGAGGGTTTGGTGCCCAGCAACACTGCCAACATCTCCCAGCTCCAGCTGGGTCCTGCTCTGCGGAGCCTGGCCCATGGCTGGGGAGGCAGGTTGGGTTGGATCTGCTGACACCATGTTTTCCAGGCTCAAGCCCTTGAGACTTGTGGATTGGTGCCCATTTATGCGTGTCCCTATCATCTGTGTGACACCATCAGGAAGTCATTTTACCAGCAGTGGAGATGTGGCACCAGGCATAACCAAACTGGAAGGGTCTTAGGGCTGCTCTGTTGTTTTCCGTTCTTGGAGGCAAAAAAACCCCTCAATCTGGGCACTTTCCCAGCTTGTGGCCACTGTGGCTTTGCCTGGCTTGGTGGGGGATGGGGCTTGGGGTGCCGTGGCCACATCACCACTGAGCTGAGCAGGAATCCCTGTGTGTGACGCCAGGGTATCTTTAGATGTGACTGCTGGGTTGATGACCTTTCCTAATTTCTGTGTCTAATGGCGAAGTGACATGCAGAGAGCAGTAAGAGTGTCTGAGATCCAGCTGGGCCAAATCCCTTGAGCCATGGGCAAAGCCACTGCGTGGGTGATGGGCTCTCGATCCCTGTGGGTTAAGGATTCCCCCCAGGGTGCGGAGGAGCTGTGTCGCAGCAAGCTGGAGGAGTGCTCCCTGGAGCATGGAGGGTTTGGGAGAAGGTGGCAGCCAAGTGGCTCCCACTGCTGTGCCTGGGGTGGGGGATGCACTACTCTCATCCAGCCCTTCCCTCCAGCTGTAACCTGACTTGCCCTCCTGGACACTACGGAGCCAACTGCGCCGAAGTCTGCGGCTGCCACGACGGCGCCTGCGACCCGCTGACGGGCGCCTGCCACATGGGTGAGTGCTGGGCTCCGGGCTGGGCTCTGCCACAGGGCTGGGCTCTGCCACGGGACTGGCCCTGCACTGAGCCACGGGTCTGCCTTGCAGAGGCCAACCAGAGGATGGGGGTGATCGGGGCAGGGGCCCTCCTGGCGCTGCTGCTCATCCTCCTGCTCTCCCTGCTCTGCTGCTGCTGCGTCTGCCGCAAGAAGGACGAAGCAGGCGGGTGAGTGCAAGGGGCCAGGAGGGATCTCACCAGGTTGGGAATGCGGAAGACCAGTGGGTTCTGGGGTTGACAGGGGGATGCAGAGACCATGCTGGGACAGCGGTTGTGCAGGGAAACTGAGGCAGAACCGTGCTGCTCACATGACACCATGTGGGTGCAAGGGTCTGAGCAGTCCTGCTGCATCATCAGGGCTGATGGAGGTACTCAGGATGAGCCCTTCCAGGGGAACACCTTCCTGCTCTGACTTTGTTTCTCTCTTGTGGGCCATCATTTCATGGAGACCTGCCAAGTCCCCTCCAGAAGCTAGGGTCTGGAGCTGATCTGCAAAGGGGGCCCTGAAATACAGCAAGGGCTACACAACACGGCCAAAACCCTCAGAACAAACCCCTGGGCAAAGGGATGAGGCCTGGAGGACAGGGGGGTGCTGACTGTCCCACATAGGGATGGATGGTCAGAGCTGGGAGGGTGGGTTCCTGCAGCAAGGTCAGGATGCTGACAGCGTTTTAGAAGCACCAGGTTAACATCCTACCATAATAATAGGAGTGGGGACAGACCCAAGGCAGGGGGAAAGGTTTGTGCTGCTCAGCAAGGGATGAGAGGGCTGTTGGAGCTCCTCCAGCTGTAGAGAAAACCCCCTCATGCCACCAGCCACTGCACAGGAATTTTGGAGAAGCTTCCCCTTGCAGCCCTGCAAGCTCAATCCCAGGCAGGCACAGCTGGCTTGGAGAGCCTGCGGGCTGCAGGTAATAATCCTGCAGATAAAGCACAAACCCATCAGGTGAGGAATGGCCCAGGGAGAGGGGGAATGGCTCCAGACAGTTTCCTCTCTCCCAGGGTGCCCAGTGTCCCCAGACTGCTGGGTGACCCGGCGAGCTGTCCCAGCGTGGTCCCTTGTAGGGGATGGTGGGCATGGCACACGTACCCTTGAGTCAACACACAAAGACACTCACTCCCATGGCTGCGGAAAATTGCTTGAAAACGTGGCCCCAGGAGGCTTCAAAACCATAGAGCAAATAAAGAGAAGCCACATGTTTGGCTTTGGGTTGGTATGATTTCTTTTTTTTTTTTTGAAGATTCTTGACCAGACGTGGGTATTTTTGGGCTGCACTGCCAATGGTTGGATCCAACCTTCCCACCATTCCCTGGCACTGCTCTACATCCTGGTGTGGTGCAAGCTGGTTCCTGGGGCTGGCAGCAGCCTCTGTGGGTCCTCAAATCCTTCAGCCTGGGCATGCCACTGCTTTTCATCCACCCCATTATCACTCCCAAACCCCTTTACACTTGCAGCATCCCTGAGCTGCTGCCTCTCTCTGTTGCCCATGAAGACTGTCCCCACCAGAGGAGGGGAACAGTGCCTCTGACAGTGCCATTACCTTTACTGCAGCTCCAGCCAGGACCCAGCAGCAGCCAAGAAGCCTCCAAGACGTTTGTGTGGGCGCTTCAGCCGGATTGGGATGAAGCTCCCACGCATCCCCCTGCGCCGCCAGAAGCTGCCCAAGGTCATGGGTAAGGCACAGGGGTTTGGGGAAGGTGCAGAAAGCCAGGTTTTACTCCTGTCAGGGCAGCACGTGTGGCTCAGAGCACCCTCTGCAGCCCCAAAGCAGGGCGGTGAGCATGGCAGAGCAGTGACAGGAACACACGGATCACTGGAAGCATTTCAATGGTTGGTGTGAGCTGCCTGGCTCACAGCAGCTCAGCCCTTTCTGTCTGCAGCTTCTGGATCTCCAGGCACATTTTGCTTTGCGAGGATGCAGAGGCTGTACCTGGTTCTGGAGCTCTGCTGAGTAGTTTTGGGTTTATTCTCCTGAGGTTCCCCTGAAGAGGAATGGTCCCTGCCACTCAGCAAGATGCCTTGTTAGTGCTTTTGATCCTGAAGTAACCCCAGGAGCCAGAGCATCTGGGCAGATGCCTTCTCTCCTGCCATGTGCAGCAGAGTTGAGGATGGAGGGGCAGAGATTTGGGTTAAGCTTCACACTCTGCCCAGGCGCAGAACTGCTTTGTAGGGAGCCGCTCGTACCTGGCAAAGCCCCTGACCTGGCACTGTCAGGGCTGCTGGGGACCCCCTGCATCCCAGCAGCTGGGGAATGCTGTCCCCTGCACTCTCCGAACTCTCCTTGCAACTCTTCCAGCATGGCGAGCTGGGGATCTGCTGCAACCCCGTTAACTAAACTGTGTGCGAGGGCAGCGATCCCCCCCTGTGCTGGGATGCATTTCAACCCCACTCCCTTCCTGAGCCCAGCACCTCCCTGGCCATGCCATGCTGATGGAACCCCCAGAGCAGCCACATCCTGGCAGGGATGGCTCAGTGGCTCAGCCTGAGGCTAAATCCCTCATCCCAGGCAGCACACAGAGCTGACCCCCGTCCCTGCACACCATGCACTGCCTTCAGCATCCAAGCTGGAGGGATAACCCCACGCCACGTGGGGCACAGCAAAGCCCTACCTGGAGCAGGGTGTGCCAGGGCCCAACATTCCTGCTGCAAGGATAACAGAGGATCATACAGGCTGTGTTTGTGCAAGGGGCCAGGGAAGGGCTTGGGGAGGACAGAGGGTGCCTGTGTGCAGTGAGGGCAAGGGGGGCTGCCTGCAGGCAGCTGGCAGCAGTCCAGCTGCTCTGTGTACACAGGGCAGCAGCAGCAGCAGGGAAAGGCTGAGGGTGCTCAGGACGGTCTCAGGTCCCAGCAGGGCTGAGGCTGTTCCTGGAGTCTGTCACGGAGCTGAGAGCTGGCATCTCCATGGAGGGAAAGGCTTTGGTCAGGGCTTGCCTTGTGTTATCTGGGACAGTAGAGTCCGTGTGGGCTCCAGCAGCTCCCAGTCCCACTGACACGTAGTCTGGCAGTGACTCCAGCCCCGACAGGGTCTGGGGGCCCCAGGGTGACAGTGCCCTGTTGGGTTGCCTATCGTGGCTGCCTCTCTGATGCCCAGTGACCAGGGTGCCACGTCATGACCCACAACAGCCAGTATCCACCTGAGGAGGCCATTTGTTCCCCACGCTGGTCCTGCCCCAGCAGGGGGGTCCCAGGGTTGCTGAAGTGCCCCATCCCAAGGGTCAGGTCAGTGCTGGAGGTGCCCAGGACCTTGTGGGGATGTCACAGTGAAACTGGTGCTGGCTGATGCCCAGGCAGTGGTCACTCTGGATCTGCCCACAGTCCTGGCCATGTGTTTGCTGACACCAGGTGGGTTTTCTTTTCTGGGCTCAAACACCAGTGAGCACAAGCCTACTCATGGTAGAAGATTCCCAGGTGGGACTGCAGGACTTGAAGCCCCGCTGAAGCTCATCGGGTGCCTGGAGCCTCAGGTTCCTCCCTCAAAAGCTGCTCCCCAGCCTTGGCACCAGTTTTGGATCCACAGCATCTCCCCAGGGGTTGCACCTGAGCTGGCAGCCTGCAGGGCCACCCTGGGCTCGCACCAGCAGCCGTGGGGCCAGCGTTTGGGTAGCCCTGTGTGTGGGATTTCCTCATGTCACCCTGAAGATGCCAGGGCTAACCTGAGCCCGGCACCCCACCATGTGTCCTCCCCAAGCAGCAAAGCTCAACCAGCCCCAAGGGTGATGCCGATCATGGGGAGCTTGGGAGAGTGGGAGTGGTGGCCAGGAGAGCCCTGGGATCTCTCTCTCATGGTTCTTCTGCTGCTCTTCTCTGCCTCATCTAAGTCTTGAGACCAACTGGCCACTGTGCAGGCAGGGCTGGGGTTGTTATCCTGATGGTGTGGCTCTGGGAGATTCTGGGGAGCAGTGACAGGTAATGATATGTGGGAAGCATCCGCATTTCTCTCAGCCCCAACAGCCAGGGAAGAAAAATCCCTGGCAGCCATGCTGGAGCCCCCAAGCCTCCCAAAGCTCCCAGGTGCACTACATATCCTTACTTTATAATCTGGCTGTGTCCTGAGTCTCCCTGGAGTCCTGGAGTCGCCTCGTGGCCGTGAGTCCCAGCCGCTCGGCACGCCTCCTCTCAGGAAGCATCTCCCTTCATCCGCTTCCAGACGGCTGCTTTTAATTTTCTCTTTTTGGTTTTTATTACAAGGAAAGCCATGTTGGAGCTGTCGCTTCCCCCTCTCTGGGCCATTTGCTCTTTAAATATCTCTGCTTGGATTTTTTTTCTCCTTGCTCTAAGAAGCCAAACTATGCAGGGGTGAGTGTGTAGCACTGCTGTCATTCTAAGAGCCCTACATGTCTGAAGCCAGATTCCTTAGTAAAGGATAAACATTCCAGTGGGCATCCCAATTACACTAGAAGTTATTTTATTGCAAATCAGGGATGTGCTGCAAGGTTCAAACAGTCCAGGGAGGCAATTGCAGCACGACTGGGATGAGTTGGGATGTTCAGTCAAAGGTCAAAAATACCTGGCAACACCCATGTACAGCTGGGACCCTCTCTGTGCATGGGGTTTTCATACAATCACAGAGTATCCTGAGCTGGGAGGGACCCACGGGGATCATCAGTGCAGCTCCTGGCCCTGCACAGACACCACAACAGTCCCACCCTGTGCCTGAGAGCATTGTCCAAATGCTCCTGGAGCTCTGGCAGCCTTGGGACTGTGCCCATTCCCTGGGGAGCCTGGGCAGTGCCCAGCACCCTCTGGGACTACCCTTTTGCAGCCCTTCATCCAAAGCAAGGCTCTGCCCTGCTTTGGAGGGAGCTTGTCACTGTCCCAGGGAACAAAAGCCAGTGGAAGGCAATGGGGACAAGTGCATCTACTGCTGCATGACTCTCTGGGAGGATCAGTCCTCCTCCCAGCTGGGTGCTGCTTCAGTTCTGTGGGTACCTGAGGAGGCTGCTCAAGCTGTGGGCACCTGGGAAAAAAGCCTCAGGATGTGGTGGGACATGAGCTTATGCAGAAAAAAGCCTCAAAAATTATCAAGCTGGAAAAAAAAGGCACTCCAGCCCAGACAACTCCTAACTGCTCATCTTCTCTGTTTTGTTTTATTAACACCATTTTTCTTCTGTTGGTTTCTCTCTTCTACTTGGCTTCTCTGTGGGTGGCCCCTTGGCAGAGGGGCAGTGCCAGGGCATGAGGGGAGGGATACTCCTACTCAGCTTCCGGAAGGAAGAAGCTGGCAAAGGGATTGAAAAGAGGCAGAATAGGGAAAATGTACATCCCCCTGCTGCAGGCTTCCTTTGATCATCCTGCATCCATGTGCAAAAGCACATGGAAAAGGAAAATGCAGTCAGTGACGCTGAAGTGGGAATTAGTGGAATTAAAGCCAGCAGCTAATTTTCTCCCTGGGAAGGGGACAGTCACAGTGGCAGGACCCTCTCTGCAGGGTGGCTGTGCCAGGTTGCACAGCTCATGGGTGACCACCAAGACGCTCACCAAGTCCTCATGGGACCCAGGGCTTGAGTAGCTTGTCCCTCCACCATGTGCATCCTCAATTTAGGCAGCTGGAGATGGAGCTAGATGGAAGTGTGAGGCTTGAACACACTCTGCTGCCCACAGCCCAGGCATGGGGGAATACTGCTCACCACCACTGCTGGTTGGTGGTTTTTGTGGACACTTGGCTGAGGTACCTGGTGGGACTGTGCAGCAAGAAGTGTCCCCATGCCTTGGATGCTGTCCCTGTCCCTGACACCCAGCAGGAAGCTGGGCAGTAGGGAGCTGGGCAGCCTCCCACCCTCCTGGCTGGCAGTGGGGCCTGGGGGTTTGGCAGAACTGACACTGACAACAGTTCCTTGCCCTCACAGTGGCCCACCATGACCTGGAAAACACCCTGAACTGCAGCTTCATCGAGCCACCCTCTGTGGTGGAGCAGCCTTCCCCATCCTGGTCATCCCGCGGCTCCTTCTCCTCCTTTGACACCACAGACGAGGGGCCTGTGTACTGTGTCCCCCATGAAGGTGAGCAGGGTGCATCCCCAGGGGACTTTGGGGACAATATCAGGGGCCTGCTCTATGGAGAGCTGTCAGTCTGACATGGTGGGAACCGTGTCACCCTGGCTCCTGGTGCCCCAGGAAGGAGTGCAGGTTCCAGTCATGCCTCCCATACAGTTTCAGAGCTCCCTCCTCCAGCATTTGCTGCTCCAAGGTTAAGAGCCAGGAGATCTCTGACTGGGAGCCTCACTGGTAGGACACTGTCCTGCGGGAGCATCTCAGTGCTTCCCCTCCTCAGGCACATCCCACCTGACACTGCTGTGCTCTCTTCCCGCAGAGAGCATGGGTGACAGCAGGGACAGAGGGACGCCTGCCAGCCCCGGGGACAAGCTGCTGGCCCCAGTCAGCGGGGAGGAAGCAGGAGAATACACGTTCCTGAAGGAGACGGGCTCTGTCAGAGCCTTCCCGACCGACAGCAGTGAGACCCCCCTGCTCAAGTCCTCGGACAGCGAACGCTCCTCCTGCGGCTCGGGGTCGGCCAGCGCCGCGCTCTACGCCAGGGTTGCCCGCCTCTCCAAGCAGTCCAAGGAGGAGGAGGACGCCACTGTGGAGCCCCGTGGCTCTGGGAAGCCGCCATCCCCGGAGAGGACCAAGCCCCGTCCTCCAGACCCGGCCACGAAGCCCAAAGTCTCCTGGATCCACGGCAGGTACAACTCTGGCCAGTCCAACTCGCTGCCGGCACCCAGCCAGTCCCCAGAGCAAGTGGCCGCCCGGTCCGGCAGCCCCGAGCAAGGCCAGGGTTTGGCCAAGAGGAAGAGGAGTCCGAGCGAGACGTCGGCCCATGTGCAGGGCAAAGCGGAGGAGAAGGGCGGCGCCCGGAGCAAGGAGAAACCGCAGAAGCAACCGAAGGAGCCCAGTGTCCCCGAGAGCAAATCCAGCCTCTGCGGGGAGCCGCAGTCACCCTCCAAACCCAAGCAGAGGAGCAAAGCCGGCTCCGAGCCAATGGAGACCATCAACGGGGCGGTGCAGAACGCCTTCCGAAAAATGGGTGCCTTCCAGCCAGAGCGGCGGGCCGGGGACACCAGGGATGCTCCTTGTAGCCCCGGCACCAGCAAGCCCCGCTCCGAGCCGCTGCATCCCCAGCTGGCCTCCGAGCTGGCCGCCCAACTGAAGGAAAAGACTCAGAGCCTCAACAAGGGGGACGGAGGCATGCGGGCAAACGGGGTCGGTGCCCAGAGGGAGAAGCCCACCCCTCCACAGAAAGCCAAGCGCTCGGCGGCCGCCGGCGGCCAGAAGACCAGCAAGCCCTTGCTGCCCACCTCTCCCCACCTGCAAAAACTGATCCCTGCGGCGGCCGAGACGGCAGCCGGGGAGCCCAAGTGGATGGAGAAGCCAAGTGCCAGCAGTGGCCAGGATCAGACTCTCCCCACTGAGCAGACAGCCAAGAAAACCCCCATTAAGAAGCCTCCTAGGAAGAAGAGCCGGGAAGCGAGCCTGGAGCCACCCCGGGCAGCTGCTGTGCCTGCTCAGGCAGTGCAGTGACCAGGAACCGGGCACCGGCCCCGCACCGGCCGCTTGCCGGGAAGAAGGACATTTGCCAGCACAACCAGCGAACGTGGGAGCCTGGACTGGGCTGGGGGCACTGGAAGAGCCTTGATCCTCCCTTTATGCCCGTCCACCTCACTCATCCCCCTTTTTGCCTTAGTCCCCCCCTGCCTTAGGACCCGGTCCCTTCATCTGTGCCCTACTCCTGCTCTCTGCCCGGGTCTCCGCTCCCCCGCCCCCCCCAGCGCGGGGCGGACCGCAAGGAGCCGGCCCGGCCGCCAGCCCGGGGGGCTCCCTGTGCGGCGTATCCCCCCCCAACCCCCCCCCCCTTTTTTTGTAGCAGTATTATCGACCGCATAAGCAGCGCTTGTTGTACTAGACGTGCCCACGGTATATTCTGCAGTAACCCAGCCGCTCGCTTCCCGCGCTCCACTCCGCTCTGTCGGGGTCGCTGAGCACGGGAGAGGGAGAGAGCTGCTGCTCAGTGCCCTGGGCAGTGCCAGAGATGTGCTCCATATCCATCGCTGGCAGCAGCTCCCCTGCCCCGGCGCCCTCCAGGCACAGCTCTCCACTGCCAGTGCATGCCGGAGTGGGGTCGAGCTGGTTTCGACCGATGCCACCCTCCCTCCCTCCGCAGCGGCGCTGCTCCTGGTCAGAAGGAAGCACTATTTATGGATGGAGGTGGATGCCCTTCGGGTTCCCTACATCCCATCCAATGGAGTTGGAGGGATTGGTTTGGTATGAGAGAGCCTGGCACCTCTGCAGAGCGCTTTCCTAATAAAAATGTATTTCGTCCATAGCTGGGTGCCATCGATCCCTGCCCCAGCCTTCCCGTGGGTGGGCAACATGCCTAGCCTTGCTTGGGTGCTACCTGGTCCTGAGTGGGATGCAGTGGGGAGATGGATGACCGTGCAGCAGTACAGGCAGGTGGTAACAAGCAGCAGACCACTGGGAGGCAGGTCCCCACTGGGGCTGCTGCTACACATGCTCACCTGGCATCAGAGATGAGCCCTGAGGACAAGAGGAGGAGCTTCTCTTCCTCAGTACCAGCTTTGTCCCAATGGCTTACTGGTCCCGTGGTCAGACACTGCTCAGTGTAGCCTGGGTCAGACCCTGAGGTTCAAGAAAGCTCTGGCTACTGAGCAGAGAGCTCATCCCTGGGTGCTCAGGGTGCTGGGACAGAAATGTGGGGGGGGAGGGAGTAACCCCTTGCCCAGGGGCTGCTAGCTCTGTCAGCATTTGGGGTCTTCACACAGCCCCAGGCAGGATGCTGCCAGAGGACAAGGCTGGGACAAGCCCAGGGGCAGCCCAGAAGCTGAGACTTCTCCCACACAGCTTCTGCCCAAGATTCCTAAGCAGGACTCTCCCTGACATTAGAACTGGGGCTGTCTGCTTCCAGGGCAGCTGGAAACATTGGTGCCCACCACTAAGCCATCCTGATCTGTTCCCACAGTGGGGGTTCATGTCCCCGAAGATCATCAGACCAAAAGGTCAACCACAGCAATCTCAGAGGTGATGGAGGCAGCTGGCAAACACCAGAATGGGATGAGACCACATGGAACCAGGACTGCAACCAGCCCAGTACAGCACTCAGGAGGGGATGGGGCTCTGGCCCACACTGGGCATGGTTCAGCATGGTGTAGCTGGAGCCAGCAAGTACCTGACACTGTCTGGAGAAGCATTATCACATTATCAAAGCTGAAGAATGACATCACAGTGTTATTTCACAGGCTCCTGGTCACCTTTCAGAGTTTCTTCACTCTCCCTCCCCTTTCCTTCAGGTTTTATTGGGGAAGATGAAGAACAGTGGCTGAAACTAGTCCTGGGACATCACACAGTGCAAAAAAAAGGAGTGGATGGATGAGCTCAATGTCGCCAGATACAAAACAGAGAAAATCAATAGAAAAATTGAGACACTGAATCCATGAGACCTGAGATGGCATCCAAGCCCCTCCTTCCACCACGGAGGCTGTCCTTGGAAAAACTGAAGAGGCTTCCAAGACACTCAGATTGATAACTACTCATAGGTTAGTAAAAGAGAAGTAAAGGAGTTGAATCCAGGCAATAAAAGTGCAAAATTAAATACACTTTAAGAGGCAAGGTTTGTCACACACATCACATGGTCCTTATACACATCTCTTCATGTCAGACTGAAGGGCACTCAGGGGAGCCACCTGTGATGCTCATGATGGTGGCCGAGGAAGGTGAATTTGGGAATTGCCCCAGCCTCCTCTCAGGTCACTTTCTCTCTCATGCAGGCAGCCAAGCTTGGGCTGGTGCCTCAGGAAAGTTGGGCGCTAAGTTCTCCATGGTCCTCAGGCTCTCCTGGCACAGCTGAGGATCACCCAGGCAAAAGCCAGTCCATGGGCTCTGATCACAGTCCGAGCCAGCCAGAGGAGAGCCTGCAAGTGAGCAGCCTGTACGTAAGTGCAAAAATCCCATGTCACAGACAGGCAGGCAGGTCACCAGAGGCTCCAGCCCAACCATCACGTCAGGTGGCCGTGACAATATCAGGCTAAGTCTTGGGATTCTCCAAGGGTAGAGATACCCCAGCTGCCTTTGAATGTTCCAGGATCACTCTCCTGGGCAGGAATTTTATTCCAAGATTGAACCTGAATCTTCCAAGCTTCAGCTGGTGACTGTTTACCCCATTGCATCATTCAGCACCACCAAGAAGGGTTCACCTTTATCATGAAGCTATGGTAGGGGAAATTTAAGCTGATTAACAGGGATTAACAGCCCAAGAGGGTGCTGAGCACTGCCCAGGCTTCCCAGGGAATGGGCACGGCCCCGAGGCTGCCAGAGCTCCAGGAGCCTTTGGACAGCACTGCCAGGGATGATCCCTGTGGGTCCCTTCAGCTCAGGATATTCTGTGATTCTGTGACCTTAGTCACTGACTGTTCTCAGAATCCTTCCCCCAGCCCAGCCCTGCCCCCTTCTCCTGGTGCAATGTGTGCCAGTTCCATGAGCATGTTGATATCCCTTGTCCAGACCTCTCCAGTTTCTTCACATCCCTCTTGAGCTAGGAGACCACATCTGGACACTTCCTTCAGACGTCTGCCTGTACCTTTCCTGGCAGCTCCCATTATGGGCTTTGCCTTACTCTGAGGAAAAACAAGCTGATGTCCACCCTGAGGTTCTCTGTTGCTTCCAGGGTCTTTTCAACAGGGTCCTTCCAGCTCAGACAGCTCAGAATCTTCCTGTAATGTTCTGTGATGCCATCCATGTGAAGGACATGGATGAGGCATTGCCACACTTCAGTATCAGGAAGGACTAATGAATCTCTTTTCCAGGCATCCTGCAGGCTTTCTTCCCACCACTGCATGTTGGATATCTCTGACTGACAGCTCCCCATGAAAGACACCAGTGAGGAGGTCTTGTTCAGGAGGTCACAAATCAGCAGAGGCTGAAAACCATCAAACAATTTTCCTGCAGCTGTGAGTTCCACCAGGAAATGATACAATACTTGCTGTTCTGGGCTGCTTTTCAGGGCTGTTTTGCGCAGGCAGAAAACTTTGACCTCAAGGGGAAACCAGCTGAACCCAGTCATAATGTGGAGAAATCAGGTGTTCTGCTTCCCCAGAGACAGAGCAGGATCCACCTTCCCTGATCGACAGGTAGGGCTTTTGGTGACAACGTGGTGGCCATGGCTGAGGAGGAGTTGTGGGAGTGGCTGTGATGGAGCCACCAGCCCTCCGTTCCACCAGCATATCATCCATGGGATCAGAGGAGCACGGTGACACTTTTGGCTTATCCTCTCCTCCACCAACACTGCAAGACTGATCTTCCTCCCATTTCCTCCTGATTTCCCAAAGCAGAGAAGGAGCTGTTGGGTTGGACACCAGCACGTGTTTTTGGCTTGGCCAGCAAGCAGCAATAAAAGCCAGCCTGCTGCCAACAATTCATTTCCTGTTTCAGGCCCTACCAAAAATAAACTCAGAAGGGAAACTCCAATGAGAACGAAACACACAGGAGACAGCCCAGAGCTCTCAAAACTATATAGGAAATTTCTCTCTCAGTGTTCACTAGGAAGGGGGACGGTGGTGTCAGAGGGAAATGCTGGATGAGGGGATTGTGAAGGGGTTTGGGCAGCTCCATCAGAATTATAGGAATATAAATATATATGCAGCTGACACTTCCTGTGGCTACGTTATACTTGGGGAAATGGCCATTTCCTTCTTTGCCTCACAAAGTGGATGCAGGGTCCTGACTGCCTTCCCCAGGACACTTGGCTCCAGGGACGGCCACACTGGGGACGTTGCGATGTCCCCAGGTCTCATGGGAGATGTCCTCATGCAGCCACCGTCCAGCTGGCACTGGGCTCTCTGCTGCCAGGCTGCATGGGTCACCCCAGCTGGGACCCCAAAGAGGGGCAGTCACTGCAACACTACCTGAATCATTTCCCACCCTCACCTCAGCCATCGGCAACCTCATCAGCCTCTCTTGGGCTTGAGCAGGGCTGTGGTGGTGTTTCAGTGGCAAGCAACAGAAGCCTTTTGCAGGCCATCAGCTGCTGCTGTTGTGGTCTCCCGCTGCCCACCAGCTCCTGATGCAAGTAGCACTGAACCCACAGAGCCAAGGATGGGCATTGTGCTCCTGCAGGATGGCAGCTCCAGCATCAGCATCCAGGCAGAAGGAGAAACCTGTGCCCCAGGGGTCCCTGTGAGTGTGGGTGGTGGTTTTGGGATGGCATGGACACCTCGATCCAGCACCCGCAGCTTTGCCTTGGGATGGTGGAGCCTCTGGGTGGGTATTTGCAGCCTTTTCCCTCATAAGGAAGTGGGGCAGAGGGGTGGGGAGTGGTTTGTCTCTGCACCCGGTGCCCAAGATGCCACAAAACACAGGATATTGATAAAAATACGTACTCCAGGAGTATACGCACTCACACAAAAATATATGTATATATTATATACATCACTTTTATAAGTCAATATACATTATATATACAAAATTTATTCCCGGAATGTACAGGAGTGTATAATATATATGTTTGTATGCACTCCTATATACTCCAGGAGTAAACGTTTTTCTATTTCTATATTTATTTTTGTATATAGACACCTACATTCTCCTATATACTCCCACAGTACATGGTACATATACTTCTAAATTTATAACAGATTTGTACACTTTTGTAGTTTTATGTATACACTAATATATATATACACACACAAACACTATACCTATATATATACAAAAGCTTATGTACTTAACTGTTTTTCTAAGCTCCAGGAGCTGAAGGTGAGGACGTTGAGGTGCGACTGAGCCTGCCCACAGGACCCAGGTGCCAGCCCCATTCCTGCTGGCATCATGGCAGAGCCACCCAGGCGCCTCTCAATGCCGTGCCCGCACACCAGGTTTTGTGATGCTGAATCAAACAAGTGCTGTTCTGGGTCCTTCCCTGAGGATCTGGGCTTCAGGGGGCTCCAGCACAGACTTGCAGGGAAGCAAGGCAGGGACTCCACATCCCAGCACCATCCCAGCAGCAGCTCCAGGCTCTTCAAGCAGGACCACTCTAAAGCCATTTTGTCCCCACCGATGGGCACCCAGGGCTGGGCAAAGCCACGGTCCCCTCCTCTGCCCTGTCCTGCACCACAGTGCATCGCCTGGGCTTCAAAGTGGGGCTGCACCTTCAGCTCATCGGGCCCTCCAGTGGTGCCTCTGCAGCCCCACCAGTCCATCCTGAAGGATAGGATCCCATCACTGTGCGCTCAGCAGGGCACAGGGCACAGGGTAGCGCGCTCAGGTGTGCACAGGGCAGGGGCCGTGGCCAGACCGCCTCGCAGGCATCGAGGGGCCTCACACTCTGCAAACCCACCCTGGCTCCATTTTAGATTCTCCCTCATCCATGGAGTGGTGGAAATGTTTCCACGTGATCCAGGACCCCAGTTAATCCCTGGCTGCACAATGAGCTGCACAGAGCAAAGGGACTTCTAACACATGGAGCCATCGCTGGGCAAATCCAAGAGCCTGAGCCTTTATTTCAGCCTCTGCAAGCATCATTAATTTGGGGAAATCCATATTTTTGCACGGAAAGCACAAGGGCACTCTATCCAAGTGTTTTGAGCAGGAGAGGAGGAATAATCAGGTGGAAGTCAGGCAGAGGCTCCAGGTACCTGATTCATCCCCAGCTTGTGCTCCCAGCCGCATCGCGCCTGCCCGTGTTTAGTCTGGGTGGGAGCACAAATCACTGCTCAATGTCATCACTCTGCCCGGATCTGGATTTCATTAAAGCCACATGATCAGCCCTGGCTGCTGCTGGGGGCTGGCCGCGCTCCCCCCAAGGAGCTGCACAGGATGCGGGGCGGGGCTGAATGGGCCCTTGTCTGCAGCAGAGAAGCCACAGCCACCTCGTTGGGACGGGTGTTTTGTCACCCTGAAGGGCTTGGAGACCCCGAAAATATCCTGAGGGGAAGGGAGTGCAGCCTGCATCTGTCCCCTGCTCAGTTGGTGACTGTAGGGGCACAGCAAGGGGGTCCCCAAGACCCACGACCTGGGGTCCCAAAGTCAGGCTGCAGACTCAGAGGGACACGGGTGCCAACTGGGCAGCCCCAGCCAAGGGATAGAAGGGGTTGGCTCCAGGCTGCTGCAACCCCTGCATACAGTCATATCCTTTACATCTCTTGCATCCCTTGGATCCTTGACATCCCATTGCAACTCCTACATCCCGTTGCACTCTCTGAATCCCTTGCAGCTTCCTTGCATGCCTTGCGTTATTAATAGCCTGCTGCAGCCCTTTAAGCATCCTTTACATCCCTTACATCCTTCTCAGCTCACTGAATTTCTTATGTCCTGCTGCATCCTTTGTGTCCCCTGCAGCCTCCTGTGTCACTTGCATCCTGTGCATGCTTTGCACTCCCCCCTTGCAGCCCATGGCCCCTGCACACAACTCCCAGTCAAGCCCACACACTTACAGTCTCCTCCGAGGTCATTCTTGCTTATGAAGCCCTGTGCAGTGACCTGGGAGCACCTGCACCAGTCAGCTGGGAGCCTCTCTGGCCGGTCCAGGGGAAGCAGCTCCTGCCCCTTGCCCAGGCTCACCAGGCAGGGTGTTGTCCATGGGGTGATACAGAGCTGTCACCTCAAACAGACCTGACAGCCTTCTCTCTGCAGGTGGCAAAGTCATGAGGTGCTCCTGAGCTGCTGAGCCACAACCCAAATTCATGGAATTTGCCCTGGCTGAGCATCCATGTCCCATCCCAGGAATGATGTGCACTCAGGACACGTGGCTGCGGCATCTCCTCTGAGTCCCCATGGAACTTGGCCCAGACAACCAAAACCTGGACATGTTTTCTGACATGTTTCCAATGATGCACGCTACCCTTCCAGCCCAGTAGCCCTTGGTCTCCTAACTACAGCAGCAGCCAGCCGGCAGGAGAGCGTGTAGGCTTCACCCAGCACCTCCGAGAGCCAGTGACCACCTCGATCCAGGTCTTATTTTAGATGCAGCTCAGGGGTGAAGTTCCCGTTCAGATATTCAGCTCCAGAGGCCAGAGCAGGGGAAACACTTTTACTCTGCAGTGTTTAAATTGGAATAAATCCGGTGAGCCTGAGGCTGAAGCTCTGGCAGTCCCAGCCATGCCCTCCCCTTGCCTGGGGGATGAGGGGAGGGCCCCAAGTGGCCTGAAAAAGGAGGGAGCAAGGCTGGGGACAGGTGGCAAAGCCAGTGCAGTGGGTGACCATGCAGCCAGTGCAGGGTGGAGTCAGAGGGCGGCTGCTGGAGACCCTGCCCCAGAGGGCTGGTGCAGCTCTTAGAGGGTCCAAAGAGGAGTTGGAGGAGACTTGAGGAAACTATCCAAGCCAAGCTGGCTGAGGAGAGACAGATCCAGCCTAGAGGAGAGGAGCCCCCCAGACCTGGCCCTGCGGGGGGTTGCTGCTTCAGGAAAACCCTGGCTCCAGCCCTGGCTCAGGCACCAGCCAGGGACTAACTGCAGGCACCGTGGCTTGGGCTGAGCCACAGTCCTGCACCAGCCCAGGCCATCTCGGTTCATACTGAAGCCATGGCAGCAGAGCCACTGCTGGGATGCTTGCCAGCTCAGCCCAAGGAGCAGATGATGCTGACCTGTCCCTGACTCCACAGGAAAGGCAGTAAAGCTATGTTTGGTGCAGAATTGGCAGTGCATTGGCCGCTTCCAGTGACAGCTGGCTGTCCGGTGACACCACAATCACCAAAGGTTGGAGAGGCCACTCCCAGCTCTGGAGTGGTGACTCAGAGCCATGGTGATGTGGCAGCTCTCCCAGGGACTCCAGGCTTGGACAGACATCTCCTGCAGGAAGGTGTGTGCTCAGGGTTCTTGGGGATTATTCCCCATGGCAATATACCCCCATACACCAGGCTCCACAGACACTCTATTCCTGTTGTATTTCTTGTCCCCCTGCTTCCACCCAGCCTCCTCTGCACCAGCAGCATGAGGAAAGCCCCACAGCTGGTTTGGGGCCTCAAGAAGCAGCAGCAGGACAGGATCAGCCACAGATTCCTTGGTGCCAAGGCAAGGAACATCTCTCTCTCCCAGTGCAGAGATCCCATGGCCGTGAGCACCCAATTGTGGCCTTGTCCTGCCCTGCAGGAAAAGTCCCATTGGGCTCTTCCCCAGCCACTCTCTCACTCCATGGTGGGGGTGACAGGGTGAGGAAGGACAGAGGAGCTTTCTCAGGTCTGTCTGTCCCTTCACAGTTCAATCCAGGCTTAGTTAAGGCTCTTCCTGGGCATCACAACCCAACTGCAGGGTTGTTTCTGCTCTCAAGCCCCTGGGTCCAGCTGCCGTGGTTTTGTCCTTGGTGCTGGCATGTTCTAGGGAGCTCAGGAAGGACCTGTTTTTCCTCCACCCACGCTGTGTCACCTGAGCTGCTTGTGGCACCAGTGCAAACACTGTTAGCTGGCCAGGGACTATCCCACTTCAGTCTGAACCCACCCCCCAGGAGCCTCCTGCACATCCCAGCATATCTTGATGTATTCCCTGCCCAGACACAGAGAGCATGGGACACCCCAGGTCACTGTGCTCTCCAGCCCCAGTCCCCATATGTGCCACCCACCCATCTCTCCTG